CAGACCTAACCTAATATAACCTAACCTTAGGCCCAGACCTAACCTAATATAACCTAACCTTAGGCCCAGACCTAACCTAATATAACCTAACCTTAGGCCCAGACCTAACCTAATATAACCTAACCTTAGGCCCAGACCTAACCTAATATAACCTAACCTTAGGCCCAGACCTAACCTAATATAACCTAACCTTAGGCCCAGACCTAACCTAATATAACCTAACCTTATGCCCAGACCTAACCTAATATAACCTAACCTTAGGCCCAGACCTAACCTAATATAACCTAACCTTAGGCCCAGACCTAACCTAATATAACCTAACCTTAGGCCCAGACCTAACCTAATATAACCTAACCTTAGGCCCAGACCTAACCTAATATAACCTAACCTTAGGCCCAGACCTAACCTAATATAACCTAACCTTAGGCCCAGACCTAACCTAATATAACCTAACCTTAGGCCCAGACCTAACCTAATATAACCTAACCTTAGGCCCAGACCTAACCTAATATAACCTAACCTTAGGCCCAGACCTAACCTAATATAACCTAACCTTAGGCCCAGACCTAACCTAATATAACCTAACCTTAGGCCCAGACCTAACCTAATATAACCTAACCTTAGGCCCAGACCTAACCTAATATAACCTAACCTTAGGCCCAGACCTAACCTAATATAACCTAACCTTAGGCCCAGACCTAACCTAATATAACCTAACCTTAGGCCCAGACCTAACCTAATATAACCTAACCTTAGGCCCAGACCTAACCTAATATAACCTAACCTTAGGCCCAGACCTAACCTAATATAACCTAACCTTAGGCCCAGACCTAACCTAATATAACCTAACCTTATGCCCAGACCTAACCTAATATAACCTAACCTTAGGCCCAGACCTAACCTAATATAACCTAACCTTAGGCCCAGACCTAACCTAATATAACCTAACCTTAGGCCCAGACCTAACCTAATATAACCTAACCTTAGGCCCAGACCTAACCTAATATAACCTAACCTTAGGCCCAGACCTAACCTAATATAACCTAACCTTAGGCCCAGACCTAACCTAATATAACCTAACCTTAGGCCCAGACCTAACCTAATATAACCTAACCTTAGGCCCAGACCTAACCTAATATAACCTAACCTTAGGCCCAGACCTAACCTAATATAACCTAACCTTAGGCCCAGACCTAACCTAATATAACCTAACCTTAGGCCCAGACCTAACCTAATATAACCTAACCTTAGGCCCAGACCTAACCTAATATAACCTAACCTTAGGCCCAGACCTAACCTAATATAACCTAACCTTAGGCCCAGACCTAACCTAATATAACCTAACCTTAGGCCCAGACCTAACCTAATATAACCTAACCTTAGGCCCAGACCTAACCTAATATAACCTAACCTTAGGCCCAGACCTAACCTAATATAACCTAACCTTAGGCCCAGACCTAACCTAATATAACCTAACCTTATGCCCAGACCTAACCTAATATAACCTAACCTTATGCCCAGACCTAACCTAATATAACCTAACCTTATGCCCAGACCTAACCTAATATAACCTAACCTTATGCCCAGACCTAACCTAATATAACCTAACCTTATGCCCAGACCTAACCTAATATAACCTAACCTTATGCCCAGACCTAACCTAATATAACCTAACCTTATGCCCAGACCTAACCTAATATAACCTAACCTTATGCCCAGACCTAACCTAATATAACCTAACCTTATGCCCAGACCTAACCTAATATAACCTAACCTTATGCCCAGACCTAACCTAATATAACCTAACCTTATGCCCAGACCTAACCTAATATAACCTAACCTTATGCCCAGACCTAACCTAATATAACCTAACCTTATGCCCAGACCTAACCTAATATAACCTAACCTTATGCCCAGACCTAACCTAATATAACCTAACCTTAGGTCCAGACCTAACCTAATATAACCTAACCTTAGGCCCTGACTGGTAGTAATAACAGTAGTAGGGATAATAATTATAGTTCCGCCCATAGTAATACGAGTAATAAGTATTATTTATATTAAAAATAGATAATTACTACTAATAATAGTTATAACGACAATAGAACGAGCAATATTGGTAGCGATATAGGTTAAAATGATAATAAAAGTAGTAATATGCGTAATAATATTGATAATAATAGGAGTAGTAAGGATAATTGCAGTTCCAGCGATGATAGTAGTTGTAATATGCGTAATAATATTGATAATAATAAGAATAATAAGGGTAATGATGATAAAAATAGTAATAAGCGTGATAATATTGATAATAATAAGAATAATATGGATAATGATGATAAAAGTAGTAATAAGCGTAATAATAGTGATCATAATAAGAATAATATGGATAATGATGATAAAAGTAGTAATATGTATAATAATATTGATAATAATAGGAGTAGTAAGGATAATTGCAGTTCCAGCGATGATAGTAGTTGTAATATGCGTAATAATATTGATAATAATAAGAATAATAAGGATAATTACAGTTCCAGCGGTGATAAAAGTAGTTATATGAGTAGTAATATTGATAATAATAAGCGTAGTAAGGATAATTACAGTTCCAGCGATGATAAAAGTAGTAATATGCGTAATAATATTGATAATAATAAGAATAATAAGGATACTGATAATAAAAGTAGTAATGTGCGTAATAATATTGATAATAATAAGAGTAGTAAGGATAATTACAGTTGAAGCGATGATAATAGTTGTAATATGGGTAATAATATTAATAATAATAAGAATGATAAGCATAATAATAATTTAGTTGTAACGATAATAAAAGTAGTAATATCGATCAAATTGATAATAATGAGAGTAGTAAGGATAATAATTATAGTTCCACAATAATAGTAATAGTAACATGGGGAATGATATATGTTAGGTCTCCAGACCTAACCTGATACAACCTAACCTTAGTCCCTGACCTAACATGATCTGAACTAACCTTAGATCCTGACCGAACTTAATATAACCTAACTGCAAGCCTGACCTAACCTGTTGATTGTCTGTTATGTTTTAGAATGTAATGGAAGGGATTGTAAATAAGTACATGATTTCTTTTGTTTATTTATTGTAACTTCATGAATACATGCAATTTGCAAATATATTTTGTACAATTTTTAATTTATGTAACTCTTTATTAGCTTAATTCTTTATTAGCTTAATTCTAATTAGCAGATTGTGTGTATATTCAATTTTGGAACTGAAAAATAAAAGCATTTATAATAAGATATTTATTGTTGTTGCACGATTTAATAATATTTTTACGTAAAAGTTAGAACATTAGTAAACAGAAAATGTTAATTATAAAAATAATAAATTGAATAACTATTTATAATGTGCAATTGTTGTAACTAAATATATGTGTAATATTAAAAAATAGGACTTACGTTGATTAAATGGAACGCAGAGATCCTTCCTCCACTTCAATGCTGTAAAGACTAGCTCGTCGGTCTGATAGCATGGCTTGAACTACTTTTAAGTAGCGCGCAGATTTTTCATAGTTTCGTCATTCGAGGCTAGATGGCAGTATCATTACAAAAGCGCGGGTAAATGCAGTAATCAAAAACGTACGATAACCGTATACCGTGTTTTCTTTTATCTTGCATTAAAGGGGTCATGTTCTCGATTATACGGAACGACTATCGGGTGCTACCGATATGAGTAACTTTATAACAAATTCTTCCTCTTCGAATTATATTGCATACAGATTCAAAAACAGCAAGAGTTGCGCAATAATGGAATAATTCGTCTTCTTATTGTCTGTCGTTGGGCGAATAATTAATGTCCGTTACGAAACACCCTGTTTGTCTCCAGTACAATGCATATCGAAGGTTTGTGTACAGTGACGTATCATGCGATTTGCTAATCTTACACTATTTATTAAATCCTTGAAATTTTACACTTTCTAAACATCGGATAATACTTGAAGAAATTTTTAAATGATTAGGTGGAGTATATTTATAAACGGTTGATTTGTCGCATACCAGATACCACGATCCGTAATTAATTCTTATCATGCCGTTACGTAAAGAAACAGAACTTGTCCTATATAATGCAAGCTTCGTTTTATCACATAAATTATCCCATTTGAAAAATCACTGATTACGAGTATATCAATGTTAACTTACTTTTATCAGTGACAAAATATTTACCGCTGCCGGAATAAAATATCGTCGCGTATTTACAAAGTAGGTACGGCCGTGGAAGAAGCATCGTGTCTGCGTACTCGTGTGTCCTCGGTTACAAATCCAACATACACGCATGTAGCTACTGTATTGTATTGCATATGTATTGTATGCAAATCAGTGTGGTTTAAAGCTGGCTCCGGTCTGCCGACAAGATCTCCCATTCCGCAACCATTCCCCTCACGAAGCTTGTGGTTACGTGCAACGTGCGACGCGGCTGCGAGTAGGTCGGTAAGTGTAACAGGGGACAAATGCGCCCGCGAGCACCACGGGGCAAGTATGTACCCGCGGGCAATAATGGGCAGCCGATTTCAAAATTTCAACTTAAAAATTTCTACATTTTCAATTTTCTAAATTGTCAAATCACGTAATTTCTAAACTTATCTGAATGTTCAAAACTTGGAAAGTTTGAAAATTTGAAATTTTGGAAGTTTCAAATTTTTACAAATTACACTTTTAAATTCGCACGATTGATATATGATTTATTGCAGATCTTGATGTATTATAGATGTGTAAATGTTCGTAATTTATTAAATTATGATCAAAAGGCGGTTTTTTGACAAATCGTACTTACCGACAAGGTGGTGCGCACAGCGCATTGCGCAGACCGCAAGCTGTGCAAGAGAAATGGCTATGGAGCGAGGGGATTTTCTTGATAGGATGGAGCCACCTTTCAACTACGACACGATATAAACGATACGTGCACGCGATTTCGCGTTAAAACGTATGGTAACAGCGCGTTTACGTATTGTTTTTCTTGATTCGCAGGAGCTGTTCGGAATCTACGACGTAACGCGAGGAAACGCGCAAAATGAACGTTTCGCGCGACGATGTGTTCGCGCAATTGAAACACGCGGGAAAACTTTGGTACATTGTTAACCCTTACGAAACATCTTTTGAATTCCCGCAACAAGTGCCCGATTATCAGCAGCAGGTAATATCACATATTCTATTATTTATACGTAAATTGACTGATTATTTTTTAATTCATCAATTAATAATTAATTCAGTTATTAAATTAATCAATAATTGATATCTTTTAATTGAAAATTCAAGTTTATTGAAAGATAAATTAATTTCAATTGAAGGCTCTTCTTATTAAATAAACTAAGAAATAATTATCAATTACAATTTTGTAACTTAATTGTTGATGAACACATTAATTAAAATAAAATAAATATGTACACAGGTATGGTTTCCATTTTTCGTCCTAATCATATTGGAGCAAATGATATTGATATTCAAGAAAAAGAAGTTTCGTTTGAACGATCAAGTGACATCTTTATCCCACTGGTTGTTCCAAGAAACTGGACGGTAAGCATAGGTAACGCTTTAATATTATTACTTCTACGTTTAATAAAATATACAAGTGGAGTATCGATCGATACGAACGTTCAACGTTTCACGACACCAAATCTATTTTTGTGAGCGTATTTTTACCGTAACGTTGATCCGTGGCCTCGTTAAGATGTATCTAATCGGATTTGTGTTCGACAATTCTGGATCCCAGATGCAGCGAGTAATAAGTTTAGGGTGGTTATCACGACGAATTTAGAACAAAAATAGCCACTGGTAATATGAAAATATAAGCTGATATTTATGAGTAATATTCAGCTAATATTTATGAGCCATTAAAAAGTGATAAAAGTCAATAAAAGCAGCAGGTGTTAGACATTACATTTTGCAATAATAACAGCGATCACCATTTCTCAACATAAAATATATTTATTTTAGTTATTTTCTGAATTAACTATTGATTGAAATTTTTAACGACGTCGTATTTTTCAGTATTCTCTTCCGTGGTGCCGAATATTACACGTACATCGTAATTTACGAGAGATATCACTGGTGGAATCTGCCTTGGAACTCGGCATGGACTTGGTGTATCACTGCCGTGGGGGTGGATTTCTGTTACTATTGGGTTCACCGCAGTAACCACGGTTAAATTCCTATCCAACCATCCATGCGTGTCATTGTGAACCCTCTACCTGACCAATTTATACGTTTCTCGCCCGTTTACAGAGGTACACTTTTTATGGGCTCACCATCAAGTACATCATAGCAGTGAGGAGTTCAATCTCGCGGTTGGTCTGCGACAATCCATCTTTCAACACTGGTGTAATTTCGTCAGTATCTTTTCTAGTCTCACAATTTCAACATTTTCAAATATTTGGTAATTTTAATTTGCTTACAGATGTTTTACTTACCCCTCGCATTATTTATACCTCCATCACATTTCATCGCCCACAACCAATTCAATTTAATTTACCAACTATGGATCCACACGACCGTGATCGACGATCTAGGACCACTGGAACTAATATTCAATACACCAAAGCATCATCGGGTACATCACGGTAAGAGACTCTAATAAACGAGTTATCGTTGCTACTCGATGCATCAATATTTTCTATAACAACTCCGATTAATTTTTCTCAGGTTGCAATTTATACTGTCTGGACAAAAATTACGGCGGCGTTCTCATCATATGGGATAAATTATTCGGCACATTTATGAAAGAGAGAAGCAAAGAGGAGATAATTTATGGCTTAGTCGTTAGTCCACAATCATTTAATCCACTATACCTGCAGGTGAGAAACCGCGGATCCTCGAACATCCGTATTTCTCTACCTGTTCGCAAACCGCTTTTATCTCTAATAACCGGTAAACGCTCGATCATTCCGTTATGTAAAATCTCAATTAGTTATGTAAATACATGATTGATACGATTTTGAAGTTGATCGATGTGCGGACGCGTAGATAATTGATCTCTTAACTGTGTATGCACGCAAGGTAACTTACGCTAAGGGGTTAGATCACCTTGATCTAAGGTCAGTGTAGGATCTTCTATGTAATTTATTTTCATATACAAACATGTACACGAATGCAATGTGTATGTGATGTGTTTGATCCCCTATAGTTGAACAAGTATTTTTGAATGAGTTGTTGAAACAATATGTATTTAACGTTGTAGATATTTTATGTGGCGCAATTAATCGAAAAGAGTTTACATATGTCGACTCTGACAAACAAGTTGGCTGTAATTTGGAAAGGTCCTAGTTGGTTTCCAGGTGGTCCACGTTTGGGTCTTGACGAGTTCAAGATAAATGTAAGTTCTTACGTCTCGTCACAAAGTCTAGGTAACGTAAGAAATAATTATTGTTTCTCGTAGGTAACATCTAGAATTAAATACGACCGTCGTATACCCAGTTGGCAAAGCTTGTACATTATCGTGCATTTTTGTTTAGTTCTTTACCAGCATTTACAGCTGTATGACGAGACGCGGGTAAGATTTTATTGTAAAATTAGCAGACATATACTTACCAGTAAACCCAACAAATAAAATTTTCTCTTCCACAGGATTTAACAACCGCATCTTCAGCATTTATAGCGATCAATAATTTGCTCACTGTGACCGCGATCGGTCTCCTATTCGACGAATCACCTTACGGTGATATTGTGGAATTTCTACGCTGCCTGATCTACTTATACTTCTTGAGGGTGCATCATTTAATCAACGTACACGTATATTACGTGCACATAGTGTCTTGCTGCATTTGGACGTTACATTTTCTTTGTAAAATAAGAACACGGTAGAAGAACTGATTTTGCATAATATATTATAGAAACTGATAATTTTGTAAAACTACAAGATATAACTGTCTAATTTATGCGTTACCGTATTCTTACCATTTTCACTTGAACGGAACGCGTAAATTCGACATAGCATAATACGTTTCTTGTAATTAATAAATATCGTAGAAATGATGTTTATCGAAGCGTTCGTGTTTGACAAATACATGTTTAAAAACCAGTAGCAAATGACTTTTTATACATAGGACATAGAACGAGGAAGTTAAGAACGGCGGTTTCTTCGGTTACTCGATACAATTTCTCTTTTTACTAAACTCTCATTGAATTACTTTCCGTGAAATGATATCGGAAACCACGTGTGGTCACCTCACGTAATGTCATATTTTCGATTCGATTAAGTTAGTGGCGGATAACTGTACTCATAAATAGACAGTTATTCAGTAGTTTACGACCATGTTAAGAACATTTATTGAAAGATAGAATACGTAGGATAAAGGTACCATTGAAGAGACCAATATTTAATTCTTAAAGTTTTATATTTTCATGGACAAAAAGAAAACATGTTCAAGATAAACGAAAGACATCCTTAAATCGTTGACAGAACACAGAACTCGTACAGTGGATCGAATACATCGAATTTATCGTTAGCAAAAAAGATCAAAGCAATCGCTTACATCGATTTAAAGTGTCGCGTACAAAATTGCCTACGACATTAGCGCGCACGCGTTGCATAATATAGATTAGAGAACGCATCATTTCGTTAGTATCCTGCTAATATTCGAAACGTTACGGTTCGTATATAAAATTCTCCTATTTAATCGATAGATACATATTATTTGTTCTCGCATGAACACTCGCGATTAAGAATAACCAGTTGTTGGAACTCGTAAACGTTCCACAAAATTAGTCGCGCAACGTGAAGCGTTCGTGTAATGATCGACGCGTTAAAAAAGAACGTAGTCAAAAAGACGCTTTACAATCGAAAACTTTACAAAACATGACATTATACAATAGTATCATATAATATATAGGACGTATAAACATTCGAAGTACAATTTTACATTCCTAAACGAATCGCCGCGTCGCGAATTACCGCGAACATTCGAATATCCGAGCAGTCGACGAATATTCGATACGAATCGAGCGCGAAATAATTAAGCGTAATTCGCGTTATTTAACGCGATATTATCGGTAACGATATTGTACAGTACTGGACGAAAGTATTAGCATAAATATTTCAGTATAAAATAGCTTATTAATTTGAATAAATCAAGTTACTTGGAAAGTTTCAAATCATTTACACAATTAACGATTGAATCCAAAAATCGTAACTTAAAATTGAATTGCTTGAAAGTTATAATAAAAGAACATATTACATACAGTCTGTTAATACTCCTGTTCTGATTAATTAAAAAAAAACATTAAGTTAACTATAATATTTTGTTCCAAATTATACAATTTCATACTGAAACATCTGTATTAATACTACAATCCAATACTGTATTTAAAAGATAATCGTTTTACTCGAGCGTAACAAAAGTAAATATCATTGAAAGAAAACAAAGAAAGACAAGATAATTATTGAGAATTGGGGCAATCACCGATTTCAATGACTCTGAAGTATATTATAAAAATCAATATTTTCGAATATTAATGAAATATGTTTTATGAATATAAAGACTAACAATAAAACAATAGGTATTACTGTACACATAATCTAATAGATAAAACAACTCAACATGTTAACCTTAAGATTATCAAAATTAACAAAACGTGTCTTATAATTAATTATTTTACTGAACAGACTCAAGTATCTCAAGCTTGAAACTTTTATACAGAAAAAAAATACTTGGAATACTGATCTTAACAATACACTCGAAAATCGATAAAATCGGGCTTATCTCAATAATTACCAAAAACAAACGCGCGAATGCCCGCACAACGACGCCCGAGCACATTGATCTCTTTCTCACGTTTATCCGTAACAAATTCGCCCCGAACAAACCGAAGTAAACCATATTGAAGAAGAGAGAACTTGGAAAGTTTAGTTGGACGCTTCGAAGCAACGGATCGTTCGGCGTTCAATGGTTTCAACGCCCGCGCGAGTATTCCTACGTATCGGTGCTCGATGCCGCCCTCTTCTCGTCGCTTCTGGCGTCGGTTTCCCTCTCGGACTTCTGCTCTAAAGAATTGTCTGAAGGATCGTCGTCGTTGCTTCTTCCGCGACTCTCGGCTTCCGGTTGATCGAGTAAAGGCACATCCAGCGAGTCCGAGGAGATGCGCCTGACGCTGCTGGCCTGACCGGTGAGGTCCGACTGGGTCTCCTTCGCATCCCGCACGTTGTTCAGGGAATCGGAGCTCAGCGAAGGATAATCCAAAGTGGTCTTCATTTCTAGGGAATCGGAGCTTCGACAGAGAGGATGGCGTTTCTTATCCGCGTTGTCTTCCAGCTCAAGGGAGTCTGTGCTGGTCTCCATAATGTTGGTGTCCCTCTGGAGCGGCCCAGCTTCCGGCGTCTCCTGCTTGGGAACGACCTGCGCCATCGTCTGCACCTCCGTCTTCTCCACATCCATGATCTCTATCTGCGAGATGTCCTCTGTTGTGTCGTCCTGGCGATCGAATTTCTCTACGTTCGATTGTGCTATGCGTATGATCTCGTCGATCTCCTTGATCCTCTTCTCGTAGTCGTCCGACCCGGACGCGCTCGCGTTGAACGACCCAGCAGCACTCGCGTCCACCCTCGTCCGCACCAGGCTCTCCAGTTTGTACTTGTTCTCCGGACTCTCGTGCTCCAGCAAGTCTTCCTCCTCCCTGGCGCGCAGCTCGATCAGGTGCGCCTCCCTGCAAGCCTTCTCCAACCCTTCGAAGTCCTTCAGCGAAGACAGAGATACGTCGTCCCCGTGGCCGGACCTGCTCGCCGCGTATCTTCGTGGAAGGCTGCCGTTGTTCACAGAATCATGCGATCCACACTGGAACTTCCTCGAGTTTTCCGCAGCAACCGTGCTCTCCAAGTGCTCGAACTCCTGCAACGAACTCAAGGACACGTTGTCGTGATCGGACGGCCTCGAGAAGTACTTCTTGCCCGCTAGGACGTCGTAATCGGGAGTGCTGCCTAGACTACCTCGCATACTACCCACGCTACCTATGGACTCCTTGTGGCTACCCAGACTCCCGAACCTACTGCTCCCAGCCTCGAAGTCGGTGATCTCTTCCTCCTTGATGTCCTCGAGGGGGCCACGGTCGTACTCGATGTCGTATACCCTGGCGTCCGCATGGAACTGCATCTCCATCCACTTCTTCCCGCCCTCGTACTGCTCCTCGTCCGAGTACGACTGGGAATACTGATCGTCGTTGGAGACTTGCGGAGGACTCTCCTCAGACTCGAAGTCGAACAGCTCGTTATTCTTCGACACTTTAACCATCGCCGACGCCTGTGGATCTTCCTTGTCCTTGGACACCAGGTTCTCAAGGTCCCGGTCGTAAAGTTTGCTACTAGTCTGCGGAACTGCGCTGATGCGTATACTCTTGCCCTCGGAGTCATACTCTTCAGCCTCACGGCCCACTTCTTCCACGACCACGAAGTCATCGGTGATGTCTGGCTTGTCGATCATCTCGAACGAATCGCTGTCCGGCGAATGACGGTCCGATTTTTCTTTACCCATTACCGTATCGACAGACACGCCCGACGTCGAGGACGTGGACATGCTCGCCTGCTGCGTCATGGAGATGGTGGCCGTCTGCGCGGACATTTCAGGACTCTCACTGGATATGCCCTCCGTAACAGACCGCTGGTTCAGGAATTCCGATTCCACGTCCTTCTCAATGACCTCCGCGTCGAACACCTCGCTGGCGACCCTCGTAACAGTGGATGTGGACTCCATGGTAGCTTGGACCGAGATTACCTGGGTGCACACGCTCTGCACGCCGTCCTCGGACACTCGAGCGGTCATTATGTCCACGGACCGAAGTGCACCGGGTGAGGCAGTCACGGTGGACGCTGCGAAGTCTATCCCCTTGGCGTCCTTGACCGGCGATGTCTTCTCGGAGCCGCTGTCGAGGTCAGCGTCTTCGATCGCCTGCGGGAAGATCATCTCCGACGATCGCTTCATGCGACAGGGTATGTTGCCCTCGATCGCGCCTATCGGCTCGTCGATCGGTATGTCGCTGCCGGAGGAGTCCGACCGATCAGTGTGTTCTTCGTCAAGGACTCCCTTTAGATTCTCTTCGGCTTCCTCCTTCTCTGCGTCCGTCTCGGAAGGCACCAGAGTCTCCGACAACTCACTGGTGCTATCGATGCTGCCTAGATGACCAGAGCTGAAGGACGCCAACGACTTCATGGACTCGCGGGAGCTCATGGTTGTGGCGGCCGTGTGGTATTCCTGGGAAGTGGGTCTCGAGGCGGTGGAGTGCTCGATCGACATGGCGGCCGTTTCATACTCAGAAGCCGTCGCCGAAGGCACTCCGCACGACTGGAAAGCTTCTACATCGGAGGAGCTAGGTCTACTCCCGCTACCGATCTCGTAATCGCAGGACTGATAATTGCTGCTCTCCCCGGAGCTGGAGCCAAGGTCCAAATCGCTTTCTGAGGTGACTCTCTTCGAACCCCGGCCGGGTTTCTTCCGTCTCATGAGTACCGGACGCGGCAGAGCCAAAGAGGAACTTTCGTCCTTGTTGTCCACGTCCGAACCGGACCTACTGGCGGCTATTGGACTAGGGTGCTCGTCCTCTTCGTCTTTCGCGTCGTCCTGGACGGTTATCGCCTCTATGTCAGGCTTCTCGACTTTCATGACGAGGATCTCTTCTTTCGTCGCGATTACGGGTTCTTCAACGCTGCTGGGGGCGGATTCTTCCGCATCCCCTTTGCCCTCGGAGACGTCCTTGGTCTCGAACGTGGACGGTTGCTCGGACGTAGTGACAGGAGACTCTGCTTTCACTGGCTCCGCCTCGGGTTCCAGCGCGTGTTCCGGAAACGACGACTCGTACAAAAAGGGTAGGTCGTTCGGGATGGACTCCGGTTGAATCTTGAACCGAAACTCCGAAGGGGAATCCTTGATCTGAATCACGGTTTCGCTGTTCTCGCTCAGCTCCTCTATCAGGTCCTGCCTAGCTGCTTCCAAGGACTCCTTCACCTCGTCGATCTCCTTCTTGACCACCTGATCCAGAACAGTTATGGCGTAACGCGCGCTCAGATCGACGTTCAGGTCGTCTTTCTTTATCTTAAAGGCACAAGCGTCGGAAGGAATCGTCGTCGTGGATCTTCCAGGTTTGTCGTGTTTGTCCGTGGACTTCTCCATGTGTCTCTTGTAATCGTCACCTAAAGGTTTCATCTTCGATAGGTAAGCCTCCGTCCATTCCTTCAAGGCGTCACCGACTTTGACCGTTCTTTCAACCTCCACTATTGTCTCGCTCACCTTTTCTTCTTTCACTTTTTCCTCCTCTTTTGATGATTTCTCTTTCTGTTCAGTTTGAGTATCTTCAGCGCTCTCGGTGGACACAACTGTGACTTCTTCTTTAACCGTCTTTGCACTCGGTCGATCGACGGCTTTCTCGATATGCAGCTCGGTAGGCACCGCTATACCCCCTCGCTCCGGCCGTTTCATACTCAGAAGCCGTCGCCGAAGGCACTCCGCACGACTGGAAAGCTTCTACATCGGAGGAGCTAGGTCTACTCCCGCTACCGATCTCGTAATCGCAGGACTGATAATTGCTGCTCTCCCCGGAGCTGGAGCCAAGGTCCAAATCGCTTTCTGAGGTGACTCTCTTCGAACCCCGGCCGGGTTTCTTCCGTCTCATGAGTACCGGACGCGGCAGAGCCAAAGAGGAACTTTCGTCCTTGTTGTCCACGTCCGAACCGGACCTACTGGCGGCTATTGGACTAGGGTGCTCGTCCTCTTCGTCTTTCGCGTCGTCCTGGACGGTTATCGCCTCTATGTCAGGCTTCTCGACTTTCATGACGAGGATCTCTTCTTTCGTCGCGATTACGGGTTCTTCAACGCTGCTGGGGGCGGATTCTTCCGCATCCCCTTTGCCCTCGGAGACGTCCTTGGTCTCGAACGTGGACGGTTGCTCGGACGTAGTGACAGGAGACTCTGCTTTCACTGGCTCCGCCTCGGGTTCCAGCGCGTGTTCCGGAAACGACGACTCGTACAAAAAGGGTAGGTCGTTCGGGATGGACTCCGGTTGAATCTTGAACCGAAACTCCGAAGGGGAATCCTTGATCTGAATCACGGTTTCGCTGTTCTCGCTCAGCTCCTCTATCAGGTCCTGCCTAGCTGCTTCCAAGGACTCCTTCACCTCGTCGATCTCCTTCTTGACCACCTGATCCAGAACAGTTATGGCGTAACGCGCGCTCAGATCGACGTTCAGGTCGTCTTTCTTTATCTTAAAGGCACAAGCGTCGGAAGGAATCGTCGTCGTGGATCTTCCAGGTTTGTCGTGTTTGTCCGTGGACTTCTCCATGTGTCTCTTGTAATCGTCACCTAAAGGTTTCATCTTCGATAGGTAAGCCTCCGTCCATTCCTTCAAGGCGTCACCGACTTTGACCGTTCTTTCAACCTCCACTATTGTCTCGCTCACCTTTTCTTCTTTCACTTTTTCCTCCTCTTTTGATGATTTCTCTTTCTGTTCAGTTTGAGTATCTTCAGCGCTCTCGGTGGACACAACTGTGACTTCTTCTTTAACCGTCTTTGCACTCGGTCGATCGACGGCTTTCTCGATATGCAGCTCGGTAGGCACCGCTATACCCCCTCGCTCTTCTGGAATCTTTTTATCCTCTTTCGAAGCCGTCTTCTCACTTTTCTCCGATTGCACCTCTTCGCTGACCTTCGTCTCCTGCTCCATGCTTTCCACATACTCCTTGATCGGTGTCTTCGCGTCGTACTCACGTTGCAACGCGTCCACAAGTTCCTGGCAACTGACGTCCAGCTTATTCTCCACCAGCTCGTTGTCCAAGTCCGGCTCGGCGACGGAGATGACCGTAAACTTGGAGCTTTTGCGTTCACCCTCGGACACGGTCTCCCTCGCCGACTCGATTACGCTAACGTCCTCCGAGGATTTCGTACCCGACTCCTGTTCGCGGTCGGTGGATCCATCTTGAGACGACAGTCGCTCCTTCTTCTTGGTCGATTCGTACGCCTCCAACTCCTGATCAAAAATCTGGGACGGTTGCAGCGTCTCTGATATCTCGATCTTCTCGTCGCCGATCATCCAGTCGACAGGTTTGATCTCCAACCCGCGTACCTTCGGCTTCGGAGAGACCATCGGAGGACTCTCGATCTCGAAGCTGTCCGTCCTTCTTATGCTCAGCGGTTCCTGGTCCTTCCGCGACGTGGACAGCTCCTGGACCATAGAGTAGTCTGCGTTCGCGTCCTCGGACACGGTGCTGGGACTGATCGTAATGTCCCGTTCCTGGACCAACCTCTCAAACGAATCCGTTTCCGCACTCTCCCTTAAGGACGGTATACCCCTGCTCGTCTGCTCGGAGATCTTCTGCTCGTCCATCTCCAACGACGGCACGTCCACCGAGTCCTCTCTGGACCGTACATCCGCTCCCGGCTCGAGAATCTCCAGCACTCTGGCGCCCGAAAGCTCGCACACGATTTTATCTCGAGGAAAACTAACATCGTCGCTGCGAGTTCGCGATTCCGACAGTTCCTTCTCGAACTGCGGACTCGAGGTCGGTTTCGAGACCATCTCCGACTCGTTCACGTCCACGTCGATCGTCTCCTCGAATTCGATCTGCTCGGATATGCTGCTGGGACTCACGGTGATGTCCCGGTCCTGCAGCCTGGCCCTCGACGAAGATAACGGAAAGCTCTCTTCCTTCTCGTTCGAAGATGACTCTTCGTCTCTGGTGACGTCCTCGCTGATGCTCGTGCTCTCCCTGGCGGACTCCAACGAGCGAGATTCCTCGGGTATGGAAGACCTTGTGTACCCCTCACCCTTCTTCATCATGCTTTCGAACTTCCGAGTCAGATCGTCGGCTAATTTTTCATCGCTCATGATCTGTTCTAGGTATCCTTTCTCGAGTAACTCCGCCTTTAGCTCCTCCGCAGATCTAGCTTCGATCTCGCTCTCTATCGACTGAATCAAGGTCTCCGCTATGGTACGGGCCTCGATTTCTTTGAATTTCCTCTTCTGCTGCTCCTCCAAGCTTTCTGCTTTCTCGCTCTTCTCCACCTTCGGACTTTCTTTGTCCTTCGGCTTCTCGCTGGGCTCGAACCGAGCTACGTCGAAGCTCTCCTTCGTCTCTCTGTACGATTCACCTTGGACGAGTGTCTCTACTTGACCTAGATCCACGGGAGACCTCCTCTCCGCTTCCGGTTTCTCCACCATCGTCTTCGCGTCCAGGTCCACCTTCTCGGAGACGTCCTTCTTTATCCGAATGGCCACGTCCGCGTCGCTCTCTCTCGATATCGCACTGCCCGCCTCGTGCGTCGTAACTCCTTCTTGGTCCGATAATTTCTTGAACGTTTCTTCGTTCTTTACTTCGACTCTAGATTCTGAGGCAGCAGCGTCTATCACTCGCTCTGTGTCCGTCAGATTCATCGACGTCTTCTGAATCGCAGTTTTGTCCAGCTCCTCGCGTTTGCTCGTCTTCTCCTCCAAGGTTTCCGTAGGGGACTCTTTCTTCGAGCGCGACTCCGTGGATTTCTTCTTCTCCACTCGCTCCTTTTCCTTCAGGGTGATGACTCGGTCGGTGCCGCTGGAGATCTCGGAAGACACCACCTCCTTCTCTTCCAGAGTGCTGGAGACCTTGTGGTCCACTTTGGAGGTCACCGTTGCAAACTCGCTCTTTGCTTTATCCTCGAACGCCTCTCGATCTCCGAAGGCCTTGGCGAACGTCTCGGTCTTCGTCGAACGCTCCTCCATTTTTGAAGTCACCTCTTCGCTCGATTTCTTCTCCGTTATCGTGTAAGTTTCGCTCTCCTTCTTCACGCGAGTGTCTTTCTTCCCGGCCTTGTCCGTCGATTTTGTATCAGTGATACGCTTCGGGATTCGGGACTCGAATTCTTTCTTTGCGCTCGGAGACGTCACTTCTTCTTTTTCGCCGTTGGAATCCTTGTCGCTGGGAGATCTACTCGGAGGCTGCTTGTCTCCTTTTTGTTTCGCATCTTTTGCGATTTTGTCTTTGTCCATTTTTGCCATCGACACGGGAATGCGAGACTCGAATTTAATTTGCTTTGGTTCGCCATCTGCCGGTGTTTTTGCCGTCGTTGGAATTTCTTCTTTGGTTTTTGCGGAAACGAAGCGCTCTGGTGGAGGCATCTCTTCCAACTTCTCGGTTTTTTCTTCTTTAATTTCTTCCTCTTCTGCTGTTTCTTCTTTGAGCTCCGCTTCGATTCTTTCCTTTCTTTCCAGGAACTTTTCTAGTTCTTTTTTAACGTCAGCCAGAGAGACTGCCTCGTGTTCCATGTCTCCTATCGATCGAGCTTCTCGAGAGCCTTTCTTGTCTTCGCGAATTTCTGGTAATTTTCCTTCGCCCTCTACTTGTACTGATTTTACTACCTTCTCTTCCACCAACGTACCGTCTTTTTGTACTTTATAAATAATAGTAGTTTGTTCGGTTATCACCGTCCTTCCACCTTCCTTCGATTTTTCTTTAATTACTTCCCTCTTCTTTATCTCTTCCGGTATTTCAGGTCTTATTGATTGCACTACTGTAGTCGATTCTCGTATCTCTTTTGACTTCTCTTCCGGTTCTTCCACTTCTGCTTCTTCTATCACTCTAACGGACTCTTGTATCTCTTTGGGCTTCTCTTTCATTTCGGCTTTTACTTCTTGTACTAGTTTAATGGAATCCTGTATCTCTTTCGGTTTTTCTTCCACGATTACGGTTTTTACTTCTTCGATAGTTTTGGTAATTTCTTCTGTCACCTTTGGTTTTTCTTCCGGAGCTGCAGTTTTTATTTCTTCTACTATTTTCACGGTTTCTTCTATGACTTTTGGTTTTTCCGAAGCTGCAGCTTTTACTTCTTCTACTATTTTCACGGTTTCTTCTATGACTTTTGGTTTTTCTTCCAAGATTACAGTTTTCACTTCTTCTACTACTTTAGTGGGTTCTTCAGTCAGTTTTGGTTTTTCTTCAGGAATTACAGCTTTTACTTCTTCTATTACCTTAATGGATTCTGTCACTTTTGGTATTTCTTTCGTTACTTCGGTTTTTATTTCTTTTATAACTTTCGGTTGTTGCTCTATGACTTCAATCTTTTCTTCTCTTACAATTTTACTAATATCTTCTACCACTTTTGGTGTTTCTCCTATCACCTCAACTTTCTCTTCCTTTACAATTTTACTCGTATCTTCTATCACTTTTGCTTTCTCTTCTGGTTCAACCTTTTCTTCCTTTTTGATTTTGCTCAAGTCTTCTATCACCTTTACTTTTTCTTCTGATACTTCAACTTTTGTTTCTTTCACTACTTTACTTGAATCAGGCACCTCTTTTGGTTTTACTTCCACTACTTCAACTTCTGTTTTACTCAAGTCTTGTATCTCTTTCTGTTTTTCTTCCACTACTTCTTCTTGTACAATCTTTCTCACATCCTGTTTCACTTTTGCTTTTTCTTCTACAACTTCAGCTTTTACTTCCTTTACCTCTACTTTTGGTTTTTCTTCCACGACTACAGTTGTTACTTCTTTCACTATTCTACTGGCATCTTCTACCTTCGGTTTCTCTTCCACTATTACAGTTCTCACTTCTGTTACTACTTTACTGAGTTCTTCTACCACTTTCGGTTTTTCTTCCACTACAGTCTTTACTTCTGTTACTACTTTACTCACTTCTACCTTCGGTTTCTCTTCCACTACAGTCTTTACTTCTGTTACTACTTTACTCACTTCTTCTACCTTCGGTTTTTCATCCTTCACCCGAGATTCTTCAATCTTCTCTTCTTTTCGTTGCTCTAATGCTTTCACACTTTCTGTCACTTCCTTTACCTCCATTTTCACAAACTCTTCACTCTTTTCAACACGTTTTACACTTTCCGTATCAGGTTTCTCTTTCCGTTTATCCGGAGATCGATCTTTCTTCGATATTTCCGGTTCGTCCATTTTCTCCGTCGCTTCAATCTCCGTTCTTATCTCTTCTTTAGAAACCTCCTCCGTCTTCTCCACCCGCTTCGGTTCGATCTTCTCTTTGTCCATCTTCTCCTTATCCTTAGGCTTCGGTTTCTCTTTCTCAGGCTTCACCGTCTCTTGCGTCTTCGCAGGGAGTTTCGTCGTTTCTTTCTGTATCTGTTCCTCGAAATATTGCGCCTTTTCAGCGACCGAACATTCTGAGATGTCCGGCACGTTTAGATCCTCCATCGTTTCGGAGGTTTCGACCCGTTGCTCCATTTCCGCCATGTCTTCCGTGACGCCACTGTGCGCGTACTCGGTTTCGCTTTCGTTGATCGTCAACTGCGACGATCTCGACACTTCCGATTCCGATCGCTGGTAACTTTCCCGCTTTCTCGATATGTCCTCCCAGAACTTCCTCTTCTCGAAATACGTTTGCCTCTCGACACCCGGCGACAAATCCTGCTCTTGGCCGACTACTTTACTGGGATAACTAGCATCTACGGATTCTAGGAAACAAGCCGCTTTTTGCGCAAGGGATTCGTGGATAGTGACAGCATCTAGAACAACCAAGAATCATGATCGCATTACTTTTTATTCAACTATTACACGTTATAGGTAAAATACATTCTCTCTCTATGTACGTGTATATATCTTATATGTGTATTTATAATTGTTATGTAACTTCATAGGATTGAAAACTTTTGCAAGCAACACCACGCAATTTATAGATTCTTTACTTGCCGAAATATTAACGAGATAAACTTTGATACAACACGTAACTTTTTACTAAAAACGCTCTCAAAAAATAACGTTTAAATATAGATTTCTAACGTGTAACATGCGTATATGTGATATATGTATATAGATATTGTGTGTGTATACATATATAAGTAACTTTTAATCTTTCGTTAAATTTTCACTTCTTTGTCTCTCCACTATATTTATTAATATCCGATATTCCTCGAGACTTAAAATTAATATCCAATACGGTTGCGTATGATTAGGTTGAGGACGGCAGTTCTGTCTGCAAGTATAAGTATAGACAATTGAGTTAATACCAAGCGTCAATCATGCTGCAACGATTTACTCAAATATCGATTACTTCCATATTGTCAAACTTTTCATTAAGATTTAAACAGGGCGGGATTAACATTTTTTACAATTTATAAACATTATAAACTTCAGACTTTATTTGAAGAATTTGGAGTCTCAAACTTTTGGAGGTTGTAGAACTTTGTAGCTTTGAATTTTTTAATTTTGAGATTTCTGGATGTTAGGACTCCAGGAACTCAACTTTGGAAACTTAGAAAAATTTTAAAACAAGAATATACAGGAAGTATTTTCAAAATTTTTAGACTCTTTGGAATTTTACAACTTTTCTCCTTTAAAAGTTAGCATATACTTACAATAAATCAATGAATAATTTTAATGATACTCTTCAATTAATTCCCTAATGCTCCTCAATGTTTAATCCAGCCCTGGACATAAACTTGAACATAAAATTAATCTTGAAGATGAGATATATCTAACTCCGTCATCCTATCAATACAACAATTATCCAATATACACATGAATCAAAAGTTATCGATCACCTTATACATAAACGTTTAGATACCTAGCTTGTACGTTCCATTAAAGACAGTACTCCATAAATATTTCTTACCATAAAAACGTTGTACACGACCGAATAAATTTTATTCGATCGGATCAACGTCTTCGATATCGGTATGACAATCGCTAATCGCGTCGTCGCTAGTATCTTTGACATTTAACAAGTTGCTCGTTTTATCAACGTTTTTCATAAAAACTTGAGAGCCTGCGAGCACGTCTAAGTCCTCGAATACTTCTCTGCGACTACAACAAGCTTCCTGAGTGTCTTCGTCGTCGGAAACCTCCATGTCTTCTTCGTCGGTGTTGCACGCGATCACGATATCCGGCATGGCGCAACGAGCTTCGTTTCGCGAAACGTCGTCTTTGTACATTTTATTTCGAACTTCCACAGAAAATGGTCCGTCGCCTTCTTTGGTCGTTATGGTCTCACTGTATTCGCAAAATAAATCGAGTCTCGGTTTCACGTAGATCGTCGAGGCAACCTCTTCGTCGGCCTCGACTTCTTCCAAGTCGGTTTCGCCCTGACACGGGCTTTCCGGAAGCTTTAAATCGTTTTGACCCTCCTTCTGCTCGGTTTCTGGTTCACTCGGATAAATTTCATCGACATCCGTCAGATTATCGATGAAACTGTTCCGGCGTGAACGTTCTTTACCTTCGGTCGATAAATAGTTTCCGGTTTCTTCCGCTTCTTCGTTGTCCAAGGTCACCGATATCGTGGGTCCTTGTGGTTCCTCCGTCGCGTGATTCGTTGGTCGAGGTTGATAAGTGATCGTCGTTAATTCTCCCTCGGAATCGGTGTCGGAGAAATGCAAGGACGCGTTATTGATCATGGCGTTCAACCTCCTGCGGGTGGACCTTATTTTACGCTTCACTTTCACGGTTTCCTTCGTTCTCGATGGACTTAAATTTTCCTCTTGATTAGATGTTCTTTGCTCTGCTTCGTTTTCTTTCTCTGCATCCGATACGCGATCGTTTAATTCGTTCTCTTCTCGCTTGTCACTCGGTTCTTCCATTATGCTTTCTTTCGACGGCCCTTCCTTCCTTTACGATTTAGCGTGTCGATTTTAACCATAAATTACTAAACAACATAAAAAAACCTGCAACTGAAAATGGTAAAGAAAAATGGAAATTAACGTTCAAAACGGAAGAAAAATGTGTAAATGAAATGGAAAGAAAATAATAACTCGATCGAAATGAAATAAACTCACGTTTACGAAATCATGGTAAGACCAACTCAAAAGAAGATAGCTTTTGAAAGCGATGTCGCCGATGGTTACGATCAAACTAAACGAGGCCGTCACCGTTACTTCCAACGTTTGTTGATACCATTATGCGTAATCGAATTAAAGAAGTCTTACTGAACGTCTCGGCCGTAAGCGGATTAACTTTTTTTTCTCTTCTTAAATGAAAACAGAACCATACTACCAGGTATAAAATTCAACTATTTCGGAGATCACTTTTTTTAAATCGTCGTCGAGTTATTTCCATAATCGTCCATTACTGTGGCATCATACGATTACGTTTACTAAAATAACAAGCGTTACCACTTAATACCTGTACGTGAACCTTTTCTGTACCTTGTATCACAATTTCAGTTAAAGGTATCTGTGGCTATTAAGCGAAACAGTATGTCATATTTATATAAAAATTTGTATTTCTATCTTAATAAAAATGTAAAACACAGTATTTGTATTTTTAAAAGAAAGGTAGAATGCTGAAGCATTTTTTTAAGTGCCAAAATGTTCATGATATTGTTATTAACTTATTAGGAATTTTATAATTTAACTACAGTGGAAGTAACGCTGTACATTTTACCTAATTTACATGATGAGTCTAAAAGCATAATAATCTGAAATATATAACTCAAACTACTATGATAATATCTTTAAAATGAAAGCACATGACTGACTCTTTCGCTTGATAGCCACAAAACAAGCATCGCGTCTTCGTATAAAATTACGATTAAATAGTTAAAGCTTACATGTACATTCTAAACGACTAAAAAATTGTACTCATCGCGTTACAAAACCAAACGCTACTTCAGCATCTATTCGACGGATGAAAATGAGTGAAAACGAACGTCATACCTGTTCGTTCTTTTTCCAAAGTGTCGGTAATAAATTTCTTTTCCGAAGGGGAGGTTTCCTTCGGCTCGTCGCTTTTCTCTTTTTGATCCTTCTTGTATTTCGATTCGTAAGTATCCCATTTCTGGCTAATGATGTTCGAATCTTCGTAATCTGTGAAAAATAAAAAAGAATTAGAATATATAAAATACGAGTTACTTGGTATTTTAAGAATAACTCAGTTTTACCTTTCGTCGTTTTCTGGATTTCAAGCTTAGTGGTAATTTCTGGAAGAACGATGTTTAGGACGCAAATGGGTTGCTGGGGCGGTTCCCCTTTGGCAACTTTTGGCTCTTTCATGAACAGCATCCTAGCGACAGGGTCCGATAATGGATCCTTTACTTTTACGTGAAAAGATAAACGATTCTGGCGGAAAGCTTTGAAGGTAAACTTTAACTGCACGCCCGATTTGGTTACGGGTACCAAATTTCCGCTGAACTCGATGTAGAGATCCTTCCCATCGAGTACCTGTGAATGATACGTTCACGATTATTCCAACTCAATACTCATCGTTTAATTTTTATTTTAACAAATATTTACTTCAACATCACGGCTTTTTACGATCTCAACAAATTCCTCTTGCTTCTCCAACGTGTGAATTCCTTCCTTTCCATCGGTCATGCATAATATTCTTAACGTAGCTTCAAGGACGTCCATTCGTTTCGAATAGATCACGAAGCTGTGTAACAAAATCAATTCTTTTTATCTGTCAAAAAGTGGCAATATTATAAATTACGTACTTTGTAACGTATGGTACAAATAACGATTCTTCATATAATTCTGTAGCCATTTTTGGAACTGCGCTTATATTCTGACAGTCCATTAACCAAAATCGAGCGGAGACGGTCGTGGTAAAGGATACTCTGTCGTTCATGAATGTTAACGGGGTTGATCCAGTAACGTCCTCCCATTGCGATTCACTGGTTCCACCTATATTAAAACCATAATGCATAAATTAATGAATGCATAATTTACAAAAATGTTTACTATAAATAAAATTGTTCCTCGACGTTTACCTGCGATGCTGCACAAGAGACGTAACGTAGGCGTCTCGCCGCCATATTGATTAATCATTCCTTTATTCGCAGCTTGCGGTACCGGTATCGTCAACGTGATCGGTTTATGGAACTTTCGTCTTCTGGGTTCGATCGTTATCACTGGAGAAACGGCCACGCAATTGCCCAGCAATTTTGCCGTAAGTTCAGCAGGAATCACATGTGCCTACGATAAAAACAGTTATATTTTTGTTAAGAGACCTATGCGATTTAACAGATACCTGTAGTCCAACTTTAATCTTCTTCGTTAGTGCTCCCGGTGGGAACACTGCTTGAACGTGATTGGCTACGCTGGATATTAAAATTCCACCTTCGGAACCGATTACGTGGACTTCTTGCTTTATTCTTGTTACTATTGCGAAGTACTGGGGGAAGTCTGTGGTTATTATGCGAGTAATCCTGCCGGAATGAGTGGCACTCATTTGAGGATCTGTAAAATTGAACTTTGTTAAAATATTGAAGTAATATGAAGTAATATGTTTAAGTAATATATGTCATTCAAAGAGCAAGTAACATCATCAAATATGATAGTCCATTTCTACAAATATTTACAGCAGTGCCACTATTAAAATTATTTACTTGAGACTACCATATTTTCTGTACTTTTATAAATAATAGTGTCTATGATGCCAATATTTCTGACAAGTATAAATTCTTTGATACTTAATGGAATATCAAACTACATTGTCAAACTAATCAAACTAATGGGACTACATTGTATACAATTACAAATTCGTTTAGTAATATTAATGGAGAAAATTGTTATAAAAATTGCTGGAATACCATATGGTGTGTTCAACAGTGTATCGTCATTGTCGACCGAGTTGTCATGTTCCTTCCACGTTTCTCCGTTCTCGCTCCTAAGAATAATAATCTCCCTTTCTTTGCCTCGAATGGACGCAAAATGTGGTATATCGATCAAAACAGGCCTGGAATTCAATTTAAGAAGTCAATAGATTGTAATGAAATTAATTTAGAAATTACAAATGTACATTACAAAAAGTAATCACCCTAGGAATGTTGCACCAATTGGTCCCATCTCTATGATACGAGTCGCCAAAGCCTCCCCCTCCATTAAAGGAGGAGGATTTGCAACTTTACTAGGTTTTATTAATCTACAGGTAACTCGAATCGGCATAGTAGCTCTACGTGGTGGTACGATAATACGTACACCGCTGTGTCTACACCCCTTCATAGCACCTCCTCGTGCATCCACCAGAAAGCTTACCAAAAATCTAAAAATTCAACCTCTTTTAATTACAACGAAACGAACATATAATTTTCAACTATACTTAACAACCATTCACACAAATACGTAAAACAGTTAATCCGTATAGTGGAAGTCGAATAATACTTACGATCTGAAATGCAATCGGCTAGAAACAGAAATTTTGTTCCGATTAATAGAAATCCCCGTGTGACAGAAGACTAATACGAAATCAAGGAATATCACGGAGATATTTATCTAACGTAAATGAATGATTACGTACCCCAAATTAATTCCGTCGGTATCAAAGTTTTCTGCTAGGCAATAATTATTGCTTTGTGTAAATTCTTTCTTTTCTTCTTTTGTAACTGATTGAAAAGGAGTTAAAGATTCGTGTAAAGACAACCGTAACGCTGGAAAGCGGATAAACAACTTACCTTGTCTGTGTATAGGATCGTCTCGGGTGACGTCGATAGGCAACGAATCGTCCCTCAAACTTTTCATTAAATCCGCCGTGAGATAACGGTACGGTTGCTCGTTAATTAACGTATCGGAACCTGCGAATGATATAAGATATTCTAGAATCTTTTAATTTGATACGGGATGTTTCACAAAGAGATCATTTTTATGGTACTCTTTTTGAACAATTTGAACAACAGCTATAATTTGAAAGAGTACCTCCTTCGTCGTCTGAATCGGACATAAAACTAGTTTCCTGCAAACTTTCGGGGGCGATAACTTTGTACTTCTCATCCCAATTTTTATTATCGGGCGTTAACGTGTCGTAAGATAATCCTTTCAGCACTTCCGTAACGGATATGTATCCCAATTTTTGAGCTATATTTAACGCGGTCAAACCGTCCTGAAACGATACCGATTATTAACATTTATATTGATTATATGCTTGAACATACACTTATACATTATATATTATATTATATTATACTTATATAATAAGATTTACCTTAGTCTTAGCTTTATGCGAAGCATTTCCTTCTAATAAAGCGGTAACTACGTGAGCGTGGCCTTGCTGTGCAGCCTGATGAAGCGGAGTATAGTTCTGATTAGTCGTAACGTCGATATTAGCGTTGTGTTTTAAAAGAAATCGGATCATCGAAAGATTTCCAAAGTGCGCCGCGATGTGTATCGGTCGGTAACCAGTTTCGGTTTCGCTCTCCACGTTTGCGCCGTTTTTCACGAGAATGGATGCCACTTTAATAAAATCCTCTTGGGCGCACAGATGCAACGCGGACAGACCATTCTAAACAAGGAAGAAACCACTAATCTTGAAGACACCCAATCTATATTATAAAAGCGAAACATGTGTGTGTTATATCGACACTTATATTCCTAAATTCCTAGATACTTAGATCCCTACAGTCCCAAAAAACTATATTCTTCATATTTCTACATCCTCTTATCAATAGGTATATTTATATATTCTTCTGTATTTACAATTTTCTACATTCTGGTTCTCTAGGTATATCTTTATATTCTTATAAGATATTTCTATCTACTTCATTCTTGTATCTACAAATTTTTATAATATCTAATCTTCAGGTTTCTATATGTTTAGAGCTTCATATATTCAAACTTGTATACAATGTGAATTCCTATATCCCTAAATCTATATATTCCAAATTTCTTTATGCTCCATCTTTATGCTCTAAGAACTCTATCTCTGTATCTACCTTACACTTCATACATTCCAAGATGATTGTACCCTAAGATCTCCATATCCTATGATACTCATATACCAAGATTTCAATTTCCCAAAATGTCTATATGCTAAGATCCTAGATGTCTATGTACCTATATTCTTATATTCCTATATCCTTAAGATATAATAAATCTATAAATCCTTGAATACCTAAATCTAGTTCTATGTATCCCTATACCTCAAAATCTCTAAACTTGCAAATCCCCAAGATATGTCCCTTACATCCTTAAAATCTCCACATCTCCTACAATCAAAATCCTCATATTTTCAAAGGCTCTATCTCTATACCCCTATTTTTTATAATAGAGAATTGGTACTTCAGTGTTTAATTAAAAACAATAGCGTTACCTTCGACCTATGATTTGGATTAGCACCGTGTTCAATTAACAAATTCGTCATGTCATAATGTCCCTTCTGAGCGCTCAAATGTAATGGCGTAAAGCCAGCTTTAGATTCGGCATTCGCGTTTGCTCCATTTTCCAAAAGCGTGGAAGCGATATCCATCTAAAAATGTATGAGACAATTAATTATTAAACTTGAATCTCTCAGTCGTGCTATTTTAATGGACTATGAATATTTCACCTGGTTTTTACGAGCAGCAATATGTAGCGGAGTGTGTCCATTTTGAGAAGCGACGTGGGGTGAGGCCCCCTTCTCTAATAAAAGATTTGCGACGTTCGGGTGGTCGTAGTGACACGCCAAATGCAATGGTGTAATATCGTTCTGAAAATTCGTATAATATTTTAATATAATTCGTATAATTTGTATAATATAATATTCGTATTAATTGAGTGTATTAAATGAAATTAGTTTTATTGGAAAATATATCGTCCAGTCGTGAATTAAAATATGTATGAAATTGTTTAAATAGAAGAAATAAATATAAGTAACATTGTATACCGTAATTTATACGCACCTTTCCCTGAGCATCTAATTTGCTATCTCTCTGTAAAAGTATCTTAGCCACGCTCATATTGCCATACTTAGCAGCGATATGTAAAGGGGTAAAACCATTTTTGGTGGTGGCCTTAAGAGACGCATTATTATCCACGAGAATAGTTGCTACCTATACATGAACAAATTAAAACTTAATCAAACTTTATATTCGTGTTGTTCAATTTTTAATTTCTCAAATACATTATTTCTGTTCGGATCATGGCAGTTCAATGACCGACTATAACAAGTTTCAGGTTACTTCTTGTCGTCGGAATTGGGGTAATTTGAAAAACGAAATAGACTTTCAAATGTCTCGTGTATTTACGGTTTCAAGCTGTGTGCCTTGAATAGCGAATAAAAACTTGAGCAGGGGCGGATCTAGTCGTCTCTGAACACTTGGAAAGTTCTGATTTTTTTAATTTTTTATGAATAGGGTTTCGGGATCTTAAGAGTTAAGGTTTTCAAACTTTGAGATTTGGAATTCTTCAACTTTCACACTTTGAAATTTTGTAACTTTTAGGCTTTCAGTTATGTTATTGAATTTTAAAGATTGAAAATTTAAGAATTTCAAACCTCCTAATTTTAGAAGTTTGAAATTTTATAACTTTTGTAAGATAGCCCATGATAAGTTGGACAATAAATTTGCTACATTAATCACGAGTTCAATGATTACTTTGTTTAATGGTTAACGCAGCACGTAAGCCATGTTTAACCCCGACGTAACAATGTATTGATTTTTTGTAATAAAAAAATAATCATCTTACCTGGTACATATAAAAAACGATCGTGTATAAAATATTTGAAACATACGTGGATAATGCGAGCACAGTACAAAGCTACGGATAATGCAAGTAACTGTAAAATAAAATTTGCAGAATAAATATTTATAAAAATAATAAGGATCGGGTTTTAGGACTACTCTGTAAAGAAAATAATATTAAACATGCTCTCCTTTTATACAATTAGCAGTATTCAACATTTTCGAGATGAAAATTGTAAGTCGAAATCTCTTCTTTGCTGCGTAGAAACACATTAATCAGTGCATTAAAATATAAATACTGAAAAGCATACGTGACGTTGAGAAAAGGTTGCATACAAAATAAATCGCTATGATAAAAAATTTTATTAAAATAAGTTACACGTAAATAACTTAACGTAAAATATGAAGTATAAAACAAAAGATCGATATAACAAGAGGCGAAACAAGAAACGAAACATAGGTGATAAAGGATAATACTAAATATACGTAACAACGAAAAATAACAAGTTTTACAAATATAGCATCTAAATAAGGTATTCGCGGTAACTTGCCCAAAATAACTGTAATCTACTTTGCGTGCTGATATACTCCGCTATCTTTGCAATTTCTTTGTACATTACCTCCTCCTGACCTTCCTTGGCCGCGATATGCAACGCGGTATACATGTCTTTTGTGGTGGTATCGACGGCTGCACCGTGTTGCAAAAGTAACATAACGATGTCGATATTTCCTAATCTCGATGCAATATGCAGCGGTGTTTGTTGCTCCTAAAACAATAGAGCGTTACACGGTCTGCAAGTTATGAAATTGTGAAAATAATGAATAAGTGTGTCATACCCGTGTACAGTAGAGAGCATTTTAGGCTTCACCTAGGGAAAATGGCGATATGAGTCCCACTCGTGCAGATTCCAAATATAAATAATTTAGAAACTTTAACATTTCAATCACTAAATATTCCAATTCTCAAATTCCCATATTTTTTAAATAAAACTCAGATTCCCAAATTTTTAACCCCTTCAATCACCACACTCTCAAGTTCTTAGATCTTAATTCTAAAATTTCCAGAGCCCCCAATACAAAAATCTCCAAACTCTCAAATCTTCAAACTCTCTCCAAATTTACCAAAATATGCAGATTAACAAATTTCCAAGTTCCCAAATTACCACATTTCAAAATTAAACTCCAATCCCTCAATTACCAAATCTCTAAATTACCAAACACTAAAATTTCCAAATTTGCAAAGTATGAGGGAAAAAGGCTTCAGTACAAACTAGATGTAATACTATCTAAACCTTTTTCCCCTACATCGCCATTTTCCCCAGGAGAAAGCCTACCGTGCTCCCTACTGTACATCGACGAAAACAGAAACAAAAATAACAATGTCGTTCGTGTAGATGTACCGTAAAAAAAAGATTAAAAAAATAGTATTTTAAAAAAAAGATTCATTATTTTTCAAGCATGATTATTTACCCTTGCACGAGCATCAACTTTAGCTCCGTTTCGTAATAAAATTCGAATAATATCTGTCTGATTAGCTCTAGCTGCCAAATGCAGAGGTGTTTCGCCTCTAACAGTTGTGACATCAGGATTGGCTTCGTGTTGCAACAGAAATATCACGATGTTCATGCATCCCATAAAACTAGCAACATGTAACGGAGTCAGTCCAGACTGCAAAACATAATAGCTTTTTGGTAACCGAAAACCAAAGGTAGAAACTGTTTTTTTTATCTAAGAAAATTAATCGATCGAATCATTTTGAATACAAGTCGTTTCTGCTAACTCGACCCGTTCAATTGCACGATAAACAAAAGGATAATCATAATCAATATATAAAGAATGATTTGTGAATTTACCTCGGTAGTAGATTTGATGGATGCTCCATGTTTTAATAACAGTTCGACAACTTTTATTCGATTCTTTTTACAAGCGATGTGCAAAGGCGTGAAGCCGTTTAAAGCGCGAGCGTTAGGGTCAGCTTTTCGATCGAGAAGCAATTTCGCTACTCTGACGTGGCCACAGTGAGCGGCTACGTGAAGAGAAGTTAAATAATCGACTGTAACTTCATCTACAGGGGCTCGATGATATAAAAGTACTCTTGCCGCGTCCACATAGTCTCCTTGCGATGCCATGTGCAGAGGCGCGAGTCCATTCTGAAAAATACTTCTTCGTTATTAAAATGAATTCATGTAGACTGACAAATAATGAACGTTGAATTAATAATTGGAGCAGTCAGAATCAGACGCTAGAATAATTAGGTATAATTAATATAAAGACACGTTGCTTACTTTTGTTCGCGCGCTTATAGGCGCAGAATGTTCAAGAAGCGTGGTAATTACTTGTTCGTGGCCAGACCTTGCCGCGCAATGAAGAGGCGTTAAACCGTCCTTGGTTTTCGCGTCGATTTGAGCAGAATTTTCTAATAATACTTTAACCATATTGTTTTTGCCCCATTTTGCAGCTACATGTAACGGGCTTATATTATGCTGACAAAAGAAACGATCAATGGTAACATTTATTTTTAACGTTTGATGGGTTCATTACGTTAACCATAGTTCGTTGATACCTTTGCTAAATAATTGACATCGGCACCGCGTTTTATCAATAAACGTGCTATTTCTTCGTTACCGTAGTGAGCAGCGATGTGCAAAGGTGTGAAGCCGCTCTTTGAGGTTACGTCGGGTTTGTGATCATTCTAAAATAAACCTTTGTTAAAATGCTTGACCAAAACGAGCAAAAACAGCTGGTCGATTCGATTGCCCATTTACCTGCAAAAGTAGATCTGCAGCTTTACAGTCGTCCTTCTTAGCCGCTATGTGAAGCGCCGGTAGTCGAACTTTTCCTTTAGAATCATTTTCTAAGAGAACGCTGACTACTTTATCGTGTCCTTGTTGCATCGCCACGGCAAGCGGGGTAAAACCATCCTAAAATATTACTTTTTTATTTTCTGTTATGAGAAGGGAACTTGACGATGTGATTCAAAGAGGTATCATTAAATGATATCACTTTACAAATTTACAATTTGCTAATTTACAATATACAAATTTTTAAGTATTCAAACTCTCAAGTTACTAAATTTTTACATTCTTAAATTACCTAATTTGCAAATACTCAAAGTTATAGAACTTAAATTAATTAGTTGTACATATATTAATTTGCAAATGTCCTCAAGTTTCCAATTTAAAAATGCACAACTTTGAAAATGTAAGAATTTGTAAATTTGTAAATTTGTAAATCTGTAAATTTGGAAGTAGCACGAGGTAGCACATCAACAAGTTTACCACGAGCCGCAACAAACATAAAATATTCACTAAATTGTACATAGGTGGTGTTATCAAAGGATATACGCATATCGATCAATTTGAGACGTTCACCTCTGTCGCGAGACTCTGATTAGCCCCGTTGCTGAGCAATAATTTAACGACTTGATCGTGATTCTCTTGAGCAGCCATGTACAAGGGCGTGAAACCATTTTGCGATTGAATATTAACCGCTGCTCCATATTGTATAAGAATGCTAACTATTTCTGATTGGCCAGCTAAAAGAGATGAAAAATCTTACTCATTATGTTCGTACACGTTTGATGTACGACGAGCACATAAATAGAAACATTCTGAAACGATGTTACTCCGAAATTAAATTCACTTGAAATATAACACTACAAAAGATAATTTCAGTCATATAGTTTAAGTAATTTATAATTTAATTTTGTAGTAAATAAAATATAATAATAGCCCATGTTATCGTAATAAAATATATTAATATTAAATTGTGCTTCTATTTATTTAACTTCGTGAGTTAAATAAATAAATATTTTTCATTGATCAAATATTTGTAAATTGATTGAGGTACAAAATATTTTCAGAATTGTAATACGTGTTCGTGGAATTTGACTCATCGCGTTACATAAAATTTGTAAACAAAATTTCGGTCGAATCTTCAAAACTCTTGTACCTATTTATATGCACGCCACTGTACTATACGTAATTACGCACCCAACGAAGCTATGTGCAACGCGGTGTTTCCTTTCTTCGTGGCCGCATCGACTTTAGCACCCCTTTTTAATAGCTCTGTTACTATTTCGACGTGACCATCTTTCGACGCTAAATGCAAAGCGTTTAAACCGTTCTACACACAAAATTAATATAACATTAATGAACGAGCCGGCAACATTATCAATTGACGCTTACCGAATTAGCTGTGTTGATGTCTAGATCGGTATCGAGGAATTCGATCACTTTTTCGAGATTTCCAGATCGAGCAGCGCGAAGAAATGCCGTCGTATCGTCGACCTGAACAAAATACATCCATTAATTATATCTTTCGTCATCAGAGAAAACAATTAACTTAATGTATTAATTTAACTTAATGTGTTTCTAATTTTAAAAACATTTTATACCGCTGATGATATCAATGCATATTTTAAAAAAGTATATTTTCGTGACGAAAGCTATTAAATTTGTAGTAATGCAATTTATTTGTGATAGAATATTTCAGTATAAATTGTATAACAATTACAGCGTCATAGGGTAAAATCCGTTTAACGCCTCATAATTTATCCGTGACCTTCACCCTATTAATCGTTCTCAAAGCCTACTTTGTAGAGTAGTATGTTTCTTGTTCTGCCTTATTATCAAATTATGAACGTTACCAAGGGTAAAGTCATACGCGGAAGAAGCAGCTGGTTCACGAACCGTCTGCTTTTAGTTTACGTATATGTTTCTTACAACCCCCCCTTCCATTTCTTTTTACCGTTCCGATAATCGTAAAAAGTTCCGGTCGGCTAATAATACTCGCTATAACAGCGAAATACTGTAAATACCGTCTGAAAATGCAATTCCATCTACTCCGTTAATCAAAATGCGCCGTTTGCGAGTTCACACCCTTCGATTAATAGAGATTGGAGAGAATAAAAAAATACCGGCAACGTTCCGACACTGCCTTTCGCGTAATATAGGTAGAACCGTACCTGGCTGGCATTATCCATAACCATCGTGCTTATTTAGAGGCTAGTCACCGTTTTCCTAATCTTTTTCACTCGTCCAGCAATTGCCGGACGCAAAGGTGTTTTCCTCGGCACACGTTAAATTACCATTCAGACGCTCCTGAGGTAACGCTAAAGACGTATACAGGAATATAGGAGCCGCCCCATATGCCAAACCAACGCGCAGAATCGAACAGCAACGATTACGGGAAAAACAGGGGTTGCGTTGCTGCCTTTCTCGACCCCCTTCTTATCTCTATCCTTGTTTTTCTTACACCTATCTGTACCGATATATCGTCCCCCGTCATTGTTCTGCGCACGCGCTCCTTAAACGCGAGAATATGTTCTTTCTTTTCCGACCGTGTCCTTTCTCCTTCTCTAACGCAACATGTATATGTTCTGGACCTAGGAATATAGGGATGAAATGTAAGCTTGGATTATGGACGAGGAGAACGAAGCTAATATAAGAGGGAGGGTTTAATAGTCGATGCCTAACCTTGATTGGTTACCTTACTGAGCATGGTCTGTGCCGCTAGTTATGAAAAATTACAATTAAAGTGGTTATACATACTACTTTAAAGATTTAGATATTTTTATTTTGACCTCAGCTTCTCTCCATAAAAATATATTCTACTCCTACGTTTCTACATCACCAAAATGTCATATTTTATTAAGAAAATTGTCATACACAAAGTACCGGCCGCCATTTGTTGCTGCGCATGTGCGCGAATAAAAAACTGATATACTTGCGTATTCTAAAAGAGTACATACGTCCTTATGAAGACGCGGTAAAATTTGAATTTTTATCACGCATGCGCGGAGTTCAAACACGTACGAAAATATCCCACAAATGATTTATTCTTTTTCTTTTCAAATGGTATTGCTACGAGGAAATTCTACTTGATGGGTTAAAGAGAATTGTAAAGTTCAGTCGATAAATCATTATTTATTAATGTTACTACATTATATGAAATAATGTTATCGATAAAATGAGAAAAGCTTTGAAAAAATGTCAACGTAATAGAGCAAAAATTAAAAACTGTATAATCGCTAACTATCTCATGTTTTTTTATAGAAAAGAAAATTGATATTTGATCAGTTTGTACTCCATCTTGAAAAAATCTTACATTTATCTTTTATATTGTTTTCGAAAATTGTTTAAATTCTATTTTCCTCGCTGCTTATATAAACTAAAATATTTGTATCAGTTGAAATTTTTTAAATCGTTATTATTTATAAATTTTACTTGACAAATCTGCTTCATACGTTGGTCACACGAATTTTCTAAAAATAATTTTCAACTTCTTAAGCATTGGAGCACCGCCAATATTACAATATAAATATTAACGAGAATAAAAATGGTTATTTAATACTTTTTTATAAATAACATAATTGGCAAAATTTTGTTTAAGAACAATACACCCTTACTGTCATTTATCGTCGTAATTTTTATATTATTTGTTTTAAAAGTAGAATATATTTTTTTAGCCCGATGTGCACTGTAAACAGGAAAGAAATTTTTTAAATATTTCGATTATATCGCAACACGCAAACTTAGACGCAAATATGCAACGCGTTCTCTGCTAGATGTTATTTGCACACGTTTTTACCTGAAACCCAATGATCGGCAGAAACACTTCCTCTGTCGTCATTTCCAAATAATAAACTGTGTATTTCGTTTGACAGACTACGTGTACGTATGTTTTCTACACCCCATACTAAAAACGTAGGTCGGCAGATATTTATAGCATTCTGTTTTATTCTCCTGAACGCCTTTGTGGTGCATCCGCTTCAATGATTTGTATCTACATGCAAATATAATAATAAAATCGTATTATCTTAATTTGACAAATTATTTCATTGCCTATTCTATTTTCAACTAATTTTTTAGAAATAACTCGTGAAAATAAATATAATATAAATTATAAACTTTATATGCTTATAACATCAAAACCCGACTTATTATTTTAAGTGTATGTCGTCAATGCAATGAAATATATATTATAAGGATTGAGGAACTCAATTCATTTACCATTATGATTCTCTTTCACAGCTTTAATCCTATTACAATTTTTTAAATATCGTCAATAAATTTTACAGGTTTTATCACAGCCTTTTTTTCTTTTTGTACAATTCAGCGATATTTTACCGTCCACTGCTTGCAAGTACTGTTTAATTCCACCAAAAGCTGATTGAAAAGCTTGGACTCAAACTGGTTACATGATGCCACCATTTTGGAGGAATGTAAAGCATTTCTCCAGGTTTCAAATAACCTATCCAACCCTTAGCTTTACTAAACTCGGGCCACTTTTCATAATTTGGACTCAAAGGATCAACTTGCGCGGTGTTATTAAGCAATTTTGTATCATAAGGATACAAATTAGACGAATCATTTGGGTGATATAAAATGACTCTTTTATACCCAAATACCTAAAATCATGAATGTCAATTTTTAATTCATATATCCGTAATACGTTGTTACTCTTAAAGCAAGTATTAACTTCCATACTTGACATAACAAATTATGTTTTGGATCAAAATGCAAAGGTGAAACAGTTCCTTCAGGTCCAAACCAAGCATTTATATCTGGTGATTCTATGGAATCATTATCTGTAAAACTGCAATATTCTGGTACCATAAAATCTTCTTTTAATTCGGGAATCTAGAATTATTATTATCCGTTAATTTTGTAAATAACTTCAATAGACGTAACAAAACATGTAAAAACTTCAAACCTGATCAAAAAGTTGATGCTGAGCTAAATAACCAACTTTATCATTCTTTTTTAATATATGCTTCTGTAAAAATTCTGAGAAAGTAAATAACTGTTGTGACCAATCTTCGTCCGTGTAACGTGATCCAATTTCGATAGGTACTATACGATTTCCAGCAATTTTAGATAAATAACTTAAATCTTGCCATCGATCTAAAGCTTTCCAATGTTTGATACAGCCTAAAATTAAATAGCAAATACACTTTGGATATTTTACTGATATATTCTATAAAGTGAGTGCTACCTGTTAATATTGCTGGAACTTGAGGCATAAACATAGTTTTATAGAATAATTCCATGGAAGGTTCATTGTATCGTGTAATTTCAGTAAATCCTGACAATACAATATTATGCAAATCTTTAGAATTTATAATTAATTTTTGAAGATTTAATGTTTCAAATGATTCTACTGTAAAAATATCAAAATTGTAATGCAAAATACAAATTTATATATTATTTTTTATTTATACTACTTACTAGTTTCATTTAATTTTGAAGCAATGTTTGGTAATAAAATGGGAGCATTTGGAAAAGGAGCTCCTAATAAAATACCTTTGTCAACTTGTTGAACAATATTTTTCAATAGCATTATGTTTTTTCTGGCTTCTCTGGGATTACTCTCATATTGGAATTCCAATACTACTGCCTATGTGAATAGATAGTGGTCAATATTTCTTCAGACTGATAGAATAATATACAATATCAGTTTATTACCTTCAAAATAACGCATAATGAATAACAATATCGATATTCTATAGGAACAGATTGCCAGTAACCTGAATTTAATATTTCCCATGTTCTGTCCAAACAAGCTTCAATTAAAATTAATGAATTCTCTATCCATTTTATGGGTGGATTTCTTTGGTAAAAAGAAAACAGTATTAAATTGTATCAATAAATAACTTTTTTTTTAAAATACTTTATATTTACATTTTATTTTCAGTAAAATTTTTTAACTTGACCGTGACCGTTGATAAATGTATTTTCATTTCAATAGGTAAAGAGTTCTGTATATTCTCCATTAATAAATCCCATGGAATTAATTTTGCGATGAATACATGATTACACATTTTCTAGAAATGTTACAGGTGTATAAGTAAAACAAAATAATCGAAATAAAAATTAAAATGATTTTATTCACAAATAAAATATTCTATCATTCTTGTTATTTGGTTCAGTTAAATATGGCCATTGTACGATTTGATAATCAACTATATAATACAAAAGTTTTCCTGTCAATGATAATGTTTTCACTCTACAAAAGCTCTCAACATATATTATATTAGTTTGCATGATATAAAATACTTTAAACAGAAATGCTGTAATACATAAAGGCACACAAGTGCCTGGACCATTACACAGAAGTAATTCTGGTCGTTCTTTCCATATAAGTGGAATTGATTCCAATATCGCATAGATAGTAGTACAAACAGATGTATAATATGACTGATGAATTTCTCTACTTCTATGGACATTAAATACTTTATAATCTGTATTATTCTTTTCTAAGTCCTTAACTTTTTCCATGCTCACTATATCTGTATCAGCATGTACATATATTCTTGGGGAATAATTTTTAAAATTTAAATACTGAAGAATTCTTATCATTTCAGCAGTATGTCCACCAGACCCTAATATTATCATTGTTTTGACAGGATTAGCACGAACTACATTTTTCTGTTTTGTTTTATGTGTAAAAAATATCATGAAACATATTCTTGCAACAATTATAGAACAAATAAATATAAAAATATAAACAGGATACATTACATATGTTTTCTTGATGTAACCTGTAACAATTAAGATATAAATCAAAAAAATTGTGTTATTAATTTATTCATAAGATGATTAGTATAACATTAACGATATTCAATTAAATAACTTCTACAAAACTTTGACTGTTACAGAATATTAAGCATGGTTTATTATGATAAATGATACCAAAATCAAAATTTACATTCATAGTTGATTACAGTTGATCAACTATACAGTTTGTTTACAGTTGCAAATTACCTTTTCTTTACAGTAACGGTTTATTAACAGATTTTTATTCTCGCAATTCTATTTGTTACGTTATGATGGAACAGCATAAATATGTAATAAATTATTTTCTCATAAATTTATTAACCCACTTCGTTACAAATTTAATAACGTAAACATAAACATTTATTGCAATGTTGGGTTGTTGCGTATGAATGATTAGAAAGCACCATCTGTACACAGTTCAACGAAAAACTATCCTGAATTCGCGCAACTCGAGGGAAATATGACTTAACTTTGCAACATGCGTACGACTAAATTTGTTACAAAACAAATTTATTATAGATATAAATAGAATTTCGTAGTTGGTAATTATTAAATAAACTGTTTGAATTGTTTTAAAATATGTAGATATGGTAATAATTCACTGTGGACGTTTTATTCATTTCTTTTGGTTTTACGTTGCACAGTTGACTTTCAAATCAGATCAGTTCATATTTCAATCTGTGTAACGGGCATAGCTTAAACATTTTAAACTAATAGATACAAAGGTCTTAAAATAATGTGATTTTAATTCAATTCGATTAAAAAGATTTCTATTTCATAAATAATATAATATACAAAACAATATCAAAACAATATAAATAAGATTGTGAAACTTCTACAAATCATTCTAATAAAAAGGATGGAACAAAATTTATTGTCAACTTCTTTTAGTAAATAATATCGTATCAGGTAAAAATATACTATCGAATTCAGTATACTGCTTTTTATAAAAATATAATTAATTGTTGAATAATTCAACAGATAGTTAACATTTGTGATAATTTACGAATGTTTTTTATTTATTGTTTCATGAATCTATATAGCAATGTTTATTTTAATATAAATGAAGTGGCTGCTTTCATTATATATCTACTTTTTTCTTTACAGTTACTGTGATTTGGAAAATATTTTCATATGTTAAAGGTTATGGAAGACTTACCTAAACAGTTGTGTCTTTCATTGACATAATATATCCTATAATATAAAAAAGGAAATAAGTGCTGAAGTACATAAGGAAACCATGTGTGGTGTTATAAGCTTCCTTTAAGTGGATAACAAAATCTTAAAAAATGGATGCGAATAAAATAAAACAGGAATCAAGTAGTGTTCCAAATGATATTGAGGAACATGAGAATTCTGATTCAATAGAGGTTACTATAAAGTGTTATAAATTATATTTATTGTAAAGGAAGCAGTAAATTTATTCATTTTTCATTTAGGTTGATAATTCACGTACAGTTCTATTAAAAATAGCAACACTGTATGCTGAACGCCTTATGAATGATATTTGTCTTGTTGTTGATGGTATAGAATATCCTGCACATCGCCTTATATTATGTGCTTCAAGTGATGTTTTCCAAGTAAGCAAATACATCCATAAACCAATGTGTTTCAAAAGTTGATAAGAATTAAATTCATGTATAGTTAATATCAATGTTCTAATATAGGTAATGTTAATGAGTCCCCAGTGGAGCGAATCACAAGAAAGTAGAGTAACACTTCAAGAGACACCACAATGTGTACCTATATTTAGTGAATTTTTGCGTTACTTTTATACTGGTCAAATAAGAATTAATTATGGAGTTGTTCTACCAATATTATCTTTGGCGGATAAGTATAATGTTAAAGATTTAATATCACTGTGTCTTGATTATATGCAAAATCATATTGCGTTAGCTGCCATACATGGCACTCTAGTATCATGGTTACAGTATACTTCAAACTGTGGCCATCACAATATTACTCAAGCGTGTCAGAATTTTATCAAATGGAATTTGGAGTTGGTAGCTAAGACTGCAGATTTTGGAAATTTTGATCTGGATATTCTGGTATCATTATTACATCAAAGTAGTTTAGTAATAAAGGATGAAATGACATTATACAAGTGCCTAGAATCTTGGTTGGATCATCAGGCAAATCGTTTAAGAACTCAGTTGTCACCTGATGAATTAGAAGCTACTCTAAAACAATTGGTGATAGCTGTAATGACTCCTGTAAGATTTCCAATGATGTCTCCTCGACAGTTAGCAGAATTACTTTTATCTCCTTTAACAAAAAAATATAAAGAATTTTTCGTAGAACGTATGTCGATAGGAATGTCATTTCATTCAGGGCAATTAGATAGAGTTAAAGAAGTAAGTTTAAATGAAGAGGATGGCGCTTTACTTTTTGAACCAAGACTATACACAGTGGACACTTGTAGTTCACTGCTTACAATTGAAAATTTTCATGGTCTGCCTTCTTATCACACCAGAACTCTTGTATTTTCGAGTCATTCGTGTTTAGCAGAGTATGCTGGTGATCGTGCGTGTGAATGGGTTGTTGATATATACCCAAAGGGTGTATGGTTTAAGAAGTTTTTTTTAATAGTATGGCAAGGAACAGTAGAAATGCCTGAACACGTAAAGCGATCGGTAAGATTATCGCTTACTTGTAAAGAACCTCCAGTAAATAGTGATGCTGATATGAGAGTGAAAATAGGTGTATTAATTTATGGATTGCAAGATGGTGTTGAACATATTACAAGAGTGACTGAAATTATTCATAGATTTAGTAAAAAAGAACGTGTTCTCAACTTGGATGATCTTTTGCCATTTGAAGAACTAAATCCACAACAGGGTTCTGTACAAGAATATACATCTCCATTTTTAGTAGGTTCAAATAAAGATATGCTCAAATTGCATATTGTTATATCACCGGCCAACTCGTTTATAGGTCCTTTAAGCTGTGTTAAACAAAGTTTTCAATTGCAAAACTTGTGTAATTGAAACGATTTGTGTAAAAAAAATTCTGACGACAAAATATCTCTGTTAAATTTAACGTGTACTTTTAGTGTTGTAAATATCTTAAAAGGTTCATTCATTTTTTTTCTCCAAGTATGACATTTTAATTTTAGTTTAAAACAAAATTTTGTATCTAGAATGTTACGTATGAAAGAGACCATGTAATAAAATAACAGATTTAAATATGTTATAACTGTATTTATAGAATTATGTATCTATTTTTAACATATCAATGAAGAAGAAAGTAATATGGTTGTAATTCCCATACTCGCCACCAGAGGGATCATACTGAATATCTATATACGTCTGCTTTCTCGCAAGTCCTTATATATCTATCCATCATGAATCTGAGAATATAGGAATGAAGTAAATTTGGATTACAGACGAAGAGAGTGAAGCCAGTATGAAAGAAGAGCTTCAATAGCTGACGTTCATATTTAATTGGTTATTTTTTGTGCATGTTCTGTACCGACAATTATGAAAAGTTAAAAAATACTGAGTAATATAGGTTAATATCAAATAAATGATTATTTTTTATGCGCATATATCATTTCAGAAGTATTTAAACTAGAGAAGTTAAAAATGATATAATAAAACAATTTTAAGTTTAGAAATGACAAAATTTCAATTTAGAGTAGTATAAAACAGTAACCAATCAAAGTTGGGCATCAATTTGTCTCGCCTCGTCTCGCAATGGCTGCCCCCATCAAGAATATGCTCTGTCCTGCTCTGTCTGCATATTTCAAAGTTCATGCGTTCATCATATACCTATTCATTTGACAATATAAATATGTAAAATACTACATATATAAAAATATTGTCTAAAAACATTTTACACTTCGGTTTACTTATACAAAATACATACATAAAACAGATGTTCATGGTTTATGCGTTTGAGTAATACTATATGAAACTAGTAACTGATCGCACATCTTATGTTACATTCTGGTTCGAAGACGTCTGATTTTATGAGCGCTCACGCCATTTTATTTATATGTGGTGGGGGGTAACAAAGTGTGCAACATTGCCTGTAGGATTCATAATTATCGAAAAATTGATCAAAAGAACAGTTTTGTTTTTGCGATGTAGTTATAACGTAAATTATAATTACTCGTAAGGTAAATCTTATACCAAAATTGGTATAGAGTTATTAATGCAAGCGTTGGACCTTCGTGTTGGTGGTAATAACTACAAGTTTTGCTCCAATTGTAACTCGAATAAAATGGATTATCGTCAAAAAGTAAGCGTAAACATATTATAGTAATTAATAAATCAATATATTTATTGTATCGTTATTAATTTGATACATATTACCCATTTAAATGTTAATCATATACAGGAATCAGTCAATAAATAGAAAATTTATTCTAATATTATTTCAAAATTGATGTTGAACAAGTTTATTTACAATCACTTTTCTTATGCCATTAAATTGTACATAGAATCTTGTTGTATACATATCTTAATTTATTAGCAAAAGATTATTATGGAAAATGCAAATAGGATGTATATAATTACTGTATGCTGTAATTTTTATAGAACATTAATGTAATAGTGGTATATATAATAATTTTTATATCTAAATGTGTTATGTTTATCAATTGATTACTATGACACAAGTATATGTAACAATTGAAGATATTAAATACATTTGTTAATGAATTATAATCAATTCGAGTACCATTTATTTCAGATGATTATACCTTCACAGCAAAATGCAAAAAATGATGACGAAGATGACGAAGACTTGGAAGCGCTTAGATTAGCAGCTCTTCAATCATTGAGAACAAAAGATGCTGTACATAATAAAAAACAGTCCTTACCACAAGTACAGAAGATTGATGTAACACAATCATTTCATCCTTTGTATAAAGGTCAGCGACCTTTAAGGAGAGGGTATTTTCATAACCGAATGCAACAGCGACAAAATGGAGTAAGATTACTTTTTTAACATATTCGGTACACATATGTGATACTCTAAGGGTTACTTTAAGCTCAATACCACATATTTGTAACAGAGGTATTTGTTTTTCGTGTTGCCTTAATTGTCTACAATGTATTGTCTTTTTCTTATTTATAGAATTTATATTATCAGAGTCCACGTAATCCAAATTTAATAGCAATAGTTCCTATGGAAGAACATGTGGTACTTCAACAAGCTGATATAACTTGTCCAGTAGAAAAGACAGATACAAGTGTTGACTCTTACTCCACAGGTATGTATAATATAAAAATATTTTAGAACTTTAATGTTTATGATATTTGTTTGAAGTATTATATAAGAATAATATTTTTAGAAGTATCGAAATTTCACCGTTTCAAAGATAATGGAAGCGGTTCGGACGAAGAAGATAATAAAGAGCAAAAAAATATAAACATAAAAGAAGAACCAATTGAAAATGACGGTATTAAAAGTGAAACACCATTCGCGATGACTGAAAATCAAGTAGAAATTGCAGAGAGTCAGAAAAAAATTGAAGAAGATCAAGACGTCGTTAACGATGACGACGATGATATTCTTTTGATGGCTGATCTCGAAGAGGAGGACAGTTTAGAACGTTTGATGGATGAAATGGAAAGGGAGATGAACGTTGATAAACCGTCCGAAAAAAGAGAAAAGAAAAGCAACAAGAAAGATGGTAAAGAATCGATAAAAAAGGATGACGTAGGGAGAAATTCGAGTCAAAAGAATAGAACAGAAGATAGTAATATTCGAAAGGAGAGTTATGCTTCAGCTTCAACAGTATCAGTTTTGAAGAGTGAAAGGCGGTCTATATCGCCTCATATAGGTAATCGAATTCCACAGAAACGTAGGTCGTTGTCGCCCAGATCACGATCAAGGAAAAAATCACCTAGAAGATCCCCTAGAAGATCACCAGCTAGACAGTTAAAAAAGTCACAACGAGAAATATCGAGATACAGATCACCTCGAAAGTCACCGGTACGATATTCCCCACGTTCACGATCACCTAAACTATCCTCGCGATCGAGATCACCACGATTATCTCCACGTCGATCTCCAAATAAATCCCCGATAAGAAGATCACCGATTAAAAAATTGTCGCCAAGAGGAAGATCTCCAAGACTCTCACCGCATTCCAGATCTCCAAGACCAATACGTTCACCTAAAGCATCGTTAGCTAAGTCCCCGAGACTGACGCGATCACGTTCTCCAAAATTTTCACCGCTCAGGTTATCCCCTCAATCGAGATCACCTTTAAGGACAAGATCTCCTAAATTATCTCCAAAACGGGCGTCGCCTCTTCGTAGGTTATCGCCTAAATCGAAATCACCTGGACTATCCCCTCGAAGGGGATCATTGCAGTTACCGTCGCCGAAAATATCGCCTCGAAGAATTTCACCGAGAACAAGGTCACCGAGATTATCACCACGCAGATCGCCGTGGTCATCGCCCAGAAATTCGCCTCGTCTTTCTCCTAGACGGAAAAGATCTCCAAGGTGGTCGCCCAAAGAATCGTGTCGAAAACATGGACCACGATCAGTTACTCCGGACGGAACGAACAGTCCATCATACACAAAAGAATCTTCGCCACTACCTAAAAGCAGAATATCTCCAGAAGTAACTCGTATCAAATCGAAACAGAAGGAAGATAATTTTGAGAAAGTCACATTGGCAGAAAAAGAAACTACAGACGTGATTAGTGATCCTATACTGGAAGCTAGACGAAGAAAGTTTGAATGTACGAGGCCTATAGATCCTATAAATGCAAATAAAAAAATTAAATTAAGTAAAAAGGAGAATACAAGTAAAAAGGTGGAGTTTCTAGAAGGGGCGGATTTTCAGTCGAGTAATGCTAGAAAAGTTGCGGAGGATTACGAGGTACAAGAAACTGATTTGTGTTTAGACGATCAGTATGAATTTGAAGAATTTGAAGAAAGTATGGAAAATACTTCACCTGTTACTATTACGAGTTCAGTTAATTCGAGTGTAGATGTGGAATCGCAGAAATCAGAGAAAGAAAAATCTTCAAAAAAGAAGAAGAAACGTGACAAAGAACTTTATCAAGTAGGAAAATTAAAGAACGAACTTCCTCTTTCTGAACGAATTGGAAAAGATAAAAAGTGTAAAAAAAGGAAGGACGTTGTCTCGGATGGACCTAGCGACGATATGGATGCTATTTTCGAAGATATAGCAATAGAAGAAGAAAGTGATTTGCGAACTGAATTGAGTAGAAGAAGAGCAGAAAGACTAAATAGAACAGTGCCAATTCAGTCTGCAAGATTAGTGCAGTCTGCTTTTAAAGGAGTTGTCAATGAGTAAGTACAATATTATATTCATTAGGGAAAAAGTGTTTATATTATATATAGTTTTCTAACTGTACAAACTAGTGAACATAGAACAGTTAAGATCTGAAAAAGAAAACTTGATACGTATTAAAAAAGATGAGAAGATTCTTAACGTATAATATATTTAAGTTTTTGACTTTCAAATGCAATCATAATTTATTTTATTTTCAGAGTTGTCAAAAATAATGCAAAAGCAAATCAGAGACACTTAGTTAAAACAGACGATAAAAGTAAGTAATATAAATATGCATATTAAACATTTATATTTCATACTTATTATATTAATAATTTTGTATTTGTATTTGTACTTTTATTTAGCAGCTAATCAAAAAGAAGTCAGAAGGGTTACCGTTCTTCACCGGCCAATATCTGACTTACACGATTCCGAAGGTTTGTACATTTGTATTTGATTAATACAGTAATCGCAATATTTTACTATATACGTTTTAATGAAATTATTTTGTAGCGAAACTTGTCGTAAAACGATAACAAGGTATTGGTAACGGTATTAATCTGTTAACTGTGGATGACGAATTAATTCATTACTCGATTAAAAGGTATATAAAGTTTTACAGTGCATTTACTGAAAGATTTTTGCCTTTGATTGTATTGTCCTGCTTGTAATTAAAAGAATACTTTTATTATTTTTTGTTTACAGAAGTAATAAATATTTTTCTGTTTGTTTCTTTTTTATTATATATCCAAAAGAAAAATGATTGTGTTCTGGTTGAACAGTGACACAGTTAACAGGTTAAAGAATATTACAACTTATAATGTAATCAAGAAAAAATATTTGTTTTTAATAGCAAATTAGAGAATCATAATTTGAAGATGTTTCTTTTAGACTTTTAGGTTTCAGTTTTAAAGTTCATTTTGAAACTCCATATTACAATGGTTTTCTTTTAACATGTCTTATTTTATATTTTTCTAAAGTACAACATTATTTATAACATCATTTAATTCGTTATATTTTTTACAGATGAAAGTACTCTGGATTCAAAGATGCCTGTGCGATTTAGACTGGGTTTGAATAAACAAGTGCATGATACCAGGGAGTCGAAAGTTTCCCGAAAAGCATCTAAGAGACAGGGTCGCAAGGTAAAACACAAAGTCAATTTGACTCTAATAAATAGTGAACATATTTTATAGCGTAAAAATAATACTTTATCGAGTGTATATAATTCATATATTCAGTTTTTTTTAGAAACATAATGTTCACGCATAATTTGATATTATAACGTTTTAATTGCTTGGGATTGTAATTTACCAATATTTGTTTTGACAATTATATATATCTATACCGGTTTAAATGTTAAAATCAACCATTGGTATCTTCAAGAATTAAAGATATTTAGAAAAAGTAGTGATATAAATAAATTTTATGTTTAACGCTTTTTCAGTATACAATTTTTTAGTAGAAATTAGAAATGAATCAATATAAAATTTATAATATCAACGCTTTATCGTTTGGGTATACCAATTAAGAATATAATTATTATCTACCAATAACATCACATAATATTTTAAAGGAACTAACTAATGTTTACTAAGAATATTATGTAACATTTCAAGTATATCAATTTTTGTTTATTTTTTTAATTTATTATAAATTCTTATAAAAGTTGAAACGCAACTTGTTAATTTGACCGATTACTAGAATATTTAAGATATTTTTTGTAGACTCACGATGTGGATACGCACAAATAATAGCTTTGAATAGCATTTATAAGATAATTTTTAAAAACAAAGCCTTCCTAACACTTTTGGTTTTGAAATGTGTCTTTTTATTTGTAACATAAATGACAAAAATGAATAATACAAAGTTAATTTGTATTTAAAAAGAAGGTTGATTTTGAAATCTACTCAATGACTCCAATTATGTTACAATCATTATCATAACACTATGATAAATTAAAAATAACACGTTGTTCATCGTGTTTCTTTCCTATTATTGAAAGATAATCGAGTGAAAATACTTATCTTCCAATCTTTTCATCTAAAATTATTAAAACATTGGTCTAAATTTTTTTATTTCATATATGTATTAGAAAATGGTTTGAGTTTAATGAAAGATTATTTTATTATTTTTTCGTCCTTGTAGCGATCCGTAAGCTTAATGAAATTTAAACGGTTTCAGTTTTGTTGCATAAATTAAACCGAGTATAATTTTCGTTAGGGGGCGATAAATGTGATCTGGTCTTTTTTTTTTTTGTTTAGGAATAGAGTAAACGTGTGTTCTCCTGATTGCATATTTATACGAAGAGTGCATAGCTGTTCATCTTACCTCCTATTTTATTGTCAGCATAAGAAAATAAGATTCATTAATAGTTAATCGTATTAAAGATTGCACTCGCGTAGAAAAGGTATTCGTTTTCATTTGGAGTGTGACCTAACATAAAAGAAAAAAAAAGATAACATTCTTCTAGAAGACAATATCAATAATTCAAAATACTTTATGTATGATTGTACGAGCTAATTATTTATTGTTAAGCTACAGTTATAGTAGATAGTAAATTACATGTGATTATATTAAATCAGTTGTTGTGTTGAAGTATTTGTAAATAACTTACATCGGTCGCTCATTTAATAAATAAGCATCATTGATAATCCCAAAGCCACCTTTTGTAAGCCTAAGTATATTCGGTACTATGAAAAGATTCTGTATAAATAAATTGACAAATTGTAAATATAATAATGTTAATAAGAGTGTGAAAAGTGAAGAATAAGTTGCCGTATCATGTAAATTGAGTTGACATTATTCAAATATTGAATATAGTATATAAAGTGATCTATATTGACAGAAGAGTGATTTTTATTGATATGTATATATATACATATATACATATATATTTTTTACTTTATGTAATTTGAAGGTAGCAAATACGAATCTGATAATTGAAAGATGCAGTGTAGTATAAAGTAGCTTCCCTCCATCTACTTATTATTTTATGTTTCAATTTAAAACATATAATGCAAGTTATGTTTTAGCAAATGTAAAAAAAATGTATCTGTGCACATATTTAAATTTTATATGTATAACAAAAATAGTATTATTATTAGTAATACAATTACTAGAATTATACGTGTTCACGAAATTAAATTTAATCAGTAAATTGCGAGAACGTTTTATTCTACTCTTTTATTATATAATTTCAAACGAGAAAATTTTATCCTTGTATTTTATAAAATATTCATTTATGTTTTTGGTGAATAATTATCGCCATTTTTGCGTTTACTTTCTATTATCATGAGTAATAGATAAACTAGTAAATCACTCCCATGCGTTACCACTGTGCAGTAATTACTATGTTTGCAAATACAAAAATAAATTATTTCATACTTTATATTTCACGCAAAAAATAAAATAACATACTTCATAGTATCTATGAAGGTGTAATTATTATTCTTAATCAAATAAAAAACAAATAAATTTATATCAACTGCTTTTGATAAAAGTTTTAATATCAAAAACATTGAGAAATCTTGAAGAAAGTTTAAAGTATATCATTTTGATAAGTGTAGTTAAAGTATATCATTTTGATAAATGTAGAAAAAGCAATACTTGATGTTTTACACGAGTATTATGATTTATATTTAGTTTGATCATATCGTAACGATACACAATTAAGTATGCGTTAAAAAAAGCAGCATAATATTTTGCATCGTGTCAAACTGTTTCCTTACATGCCTTTACACGGGTATTTAGACGTCAACTCCAAGAGTCGAGTAGCAGACACATAATTATTATAAAATAACTCGAAAGACTTGAAACCGTTGAATTTATCGATTGTACAAAATGTGATATACATCAAGGCTTGAATGGTCTTGTTAATAATAAGTACATCAGTTATTGTAGAATAACACAAATAGTTGTTAAAATTTCATTTCTAGACAACGTATGTCATCATGAAATATGCCACACATTTTATATTAACTAAAACTTTTTTGATATTTTTTTTTCTGTTCACATTTCTAAGTTGTTTATTCTCAGCTTTATATGTGTAATTTATAGGCATTTTTAATATAACAAATAAAATTATTATTACAATAGAAGTATGATTTTCTCATAAGGAGTATTATAATTATTTCATGAATTTCACTTTTCAGTGTTATTCTATGATAAGACTGTGATTAATCTGTAATTTTAATTATCGCTATTATGATGTTTGGTTTATTTGCCTAATTTTTGTCATTGTAGTAAATACAGATGGAATCACATAATAAATATGACAAACAAAATCAAATAACAAAAGTAAAAACCACGTACATCATAATATCTAGTGTTCCTTTGTATAATTGCATTTGTATTTAATATCAAGATAGGAAGTTTGTAACACAAAGAATATAACTGTTTGAATATTTGGATACAAAAGATTTTCATCCATCTGAGATTTGCTATGCACGTTATTCTTATTATTGCGTATGACTGTACTATTTGTATGATCGTGTACTTGTACTTACATTTTTTTACAAAATAACACACAGGATTTAGATTGTTCAGATATAATAAAATACAAACACCAAGTATTAATACGAAGCAAGTTCAGTGATAATTAAATCACTGAACATTTGAAATAAACTAAGACTCTTATTTCAGAAAAATAGAAAATAAAGTATTTTTATCTTAACTGTTTTGTCTTTTACTACCCTAACTCAAATCCAAAATACCTTTAAAATAATAATTTAAGATTTTGTAATTCCAGAGTTTAAGATTTTGGGATTCTAGAATTTTTTAATTTTGCGACTTTGGGGTTTTTTAAAGTATGGTCCATAATAAATTCGGCAATGGAAAATTTAGTATTTATCTTTTATTGAAACCTTAATTTAAAATTTGAGCGATCAAAATTTCAAATAGACCCGCGTGGTTCAAATCAAAGGACAATGTACAGGACAATGTACAGGAAGACTGTAATAATTACAATGAAAATTGCGACTTGTAATATGAACTACTGGTTCATTTACGTTACAATATTAAGAAATTACAATATTTATTACATCGAACGATTTAAAAGTCTAAGACATGAGCGCAGACGCAAGTAGGGTGCTCTAAAGGGGTAGTAGTGCGAAGTTTACTAGTAATCAATGATGCGACATAGTATACTTGAAACTACTTGAAGACCATTACCGTGGAACGCGTTGAATTTGCGCGAAGAAAATAATGTCATACTCGATCGAACCGAATAATCGAATAATTCCAACTGTTTTAACTCTTTAATGGGTAACAATGACAACCATATATTTAATTTAATCGAAGAAGCAACTCATGTCGGGTAGCTGCAAGATACAAATTCATTTGGTGGCTGTTGCATTATTAGATTCTGTTAATAGGGCAGCCATAAAACATGTCAATCTAAAGGACTAACGTAGCAGCGATGGGTGAAATGACCTTGTGATATAATTGTAGTAAAATTAAAATGACAGTCTATGTAGCTTGGAGTGAGCGTTTTTGTGCATCACAAACGATGGACACGTTAAATTTAGGGCGCATCGTAACTTTCGATGAAAAATGTCAAGAAGGTACGTTTACGATTCATAGCAATCACTGGACTCGCTTATTTTCTATTTTGGCATTTTAAGTACTTGCTATGTTAACAGAGTAATTTGTCAATGATTAAAATAATCTAATTGGCTTTCTATCTAAGATGCTTAACTTGTCTGAACGTATAAAAATTTGGTATCTTTTTCCCAGTACGCTGAAAACAAATATTATAATGTGTTTCAAAGAACAAACTTAAATATGGGTAGCCAAGGAGTCGGGGATATTCCAACAATATTTCATCCCCAACAAATTCATGCTCCAAATATAATTCTTGGCGATGGTCAGCAGAACCATGGTCCTCAAACCACAAGTGGTCAAGGTACTCGTGACAATTCTGGTAAGTATACACTCATATGCAATAGATGATGTATTGGTCATTCACACACATGATGGATTAGTAGGTCAAAGGTATATTATTGTTTTATTCATTTCAATTTGGAACAAATATATATTACAATATGAATGGGCTAATTTAAATTTTACCTTTAAAACACATGCTAAAAACTTTTCTAATCATCCTTGTCTTCATCATTAAGTCCAGAAGATAATTAATACTACTTACATTATAATCTTTTCTTTGAAATATTTAGGCTGCGAACAGCAACAAGGATGTAGTGTTAGTGGAAGCCGTGATTCCGTGCCAAGTTGTCGTCCATTAGAAACAAGTGGAAGTGGAACTGGAGGTGGAGGAACAGGAGACAACCAAGGACACGGTATAGGTCAAACTCAAGTTCAATCCCATGTAACAGTACCACCAGTTACCTATCATCAAAGGCCTAATTCATTATCAGCATGTTATGCATCCTGTTGTGCGGAATCTGCCAAAAAGGTTCATTAATTTTAAACAATAGTGATTGTGGGTTATCAGGACACAGGGTGTATGGATAAAAGTAAAAGAGAAAGTTCAATAAATGACAAATTAGTGGAGGTCAAAATTTACTTAGAAATTTTTAATGGATTATACTTGAATCTTCTGTTTTATGTCCCAATAATTCACAAGTACTTAAATAACATTTGCTAATATCATTATTGTAAAGTTCTACAAAATAATTTGCAATTTCCAATAAATAATTGCAGATATATTTCGGAGTATGCGTTACGATATGCGTCACTGCAAGTTGGGTCGGTGCAACACACTGTATCAAATATTTATATTTTCACAAACACGAAACTCCTAATTATTCGTCGTTTTCTAATTCATCGATTACAGGACGTCATCAACATGTAAGCTAATTTGACGTTTGATTTGTTAGTAACAAATATCTATACTTATTCTTTTAAAAATCTTTTTAGACTGTTCCATATAACGCGCCATTTTTTACAACCTGGTTTTGTACAAATTGGGAGATCCTTTACTTCCCAGTTTATTTCGTTTGTCAATCCGTAAGGATAAAATGCAACGCTCCATCAGAAATAATCGCGGAGAGTTTGCGCGGTTTCCGCGATAAAGGATTTACTGGTGGTCGTTTTTTGATCAGATGTAGTCTTTTTTGTGGACTCTGGGTAGTTACGAATTACATGTATATTTATTCACTAAGGATATTGCTAGCTACCGACGTAATGGCATTGTTCGCGACTAATGTCTCTTGCGTCTATTTATTATCCTGGGTTATTCTACACGAACAATTCGTCGGCGTAAGGGTCAGTGATGCATTTTTATGTAATAATTACGGCAAACAAATTTACACAAGGCAAAGGCGATAAGAAAAATAAATGCATTGCAGATAGTGGCGGTGATTTTATGTAATACTGGAATCGCACTGTTAGCATACATGGATGGCATAACCGGAAGTCCAACTTTAGGAGGAGTAGTTTTAGCAACATCCGCGGCAGCCGGTTCGGCTGTGTACAAGGTGAGTAATTAATCTTTGCAAGAAACGATTTTTTTTTCTATCTTTACCGTCACGCATTTCCTAATCACAAAATATATAGTTTATTTTTAGTGGCAATTAGCCATGTTGTTAGGAATGTAATGCAACTTTTATGTAGTCATTTTCGTTAAACTTTTAAGAGGAGAATTACATGTGGAACGCTAAAAATAGAGGTGACTTTTGCAAATTTATTACAAGGAAACTATTAAATAAATTACTATGGAAGTTTCAGTGCTTCGTGTTTATAATAGTTCCTTCATTATAAATTCATAAAAATCACGTTTATCTTCAGCGTTTTATATGTAAATCTGCACTTGAACTATTAAGGAAAAGCGAACGATCAATATAAAAGTAACTGATGCAATCTTAAAATAGGTGCTGTTTAAAAAAGTTATAGGAGAGACAACGTTCGGCCAAATGTCATTATTTTTTTCTCTTATCGGATTATGCAACGCAGCACTGTTATGGCCAATTTGTTTGGCCCTTTATTTTTCGGGAGCGGAAAGCGTACACTGGGGACGGTTACCATGGACGACGTTGCTCTCAGCAAGTATTCTGCATTTAGGTCAGTATCCTTCACGGTTAACGGAAATATCATTGGAAGATCATTTACTTAAAAATCATGAAATAAGCCTCGAATTTACCATATTTTGGCTCATCTCATGATTTGTGTCAAACGCGAAATAGCTGGACAACGGTTAAAGTTATACTTTTTTATCGTTGTTTGACAGTTGCAAACATGCTCGGTAACTTCAGCATCGCTCTAACGTATGATCTATTCATCACGTTGGGGTTGATCACGGCTGTACCCGTATCCGCTGGTATGCTAAACACGTATCGGAATAAATTCGAATGAATTCATAATTATCGCGAAACGGTACTTGATCGATGTCATACATTTCTTGTTCTTTTTTCCTTTCTTCTGCTTGTTGTTTTTAGCATTGGACGTTCTTCTGTACGGAGCCCATTTCATGGGAATGAAACTGGCAGGAATGATCTTTATAGCGGTCGGCTTCTTTCTCGTCATGTTTCCGGATAATTGGCCAGATTACATAACCAGACTACTCCGGTATGCATTTTATACGTATTTCGTGTACATAATTTGATGGTACGTTCATCGATTCCAACTTAATTTTTCTCTTAGTCTTTAGTTCCGTAGCTATTCCAAGCGTCCCACGTTTGCTACCTTTTTATACACGATAACACATCGCGCGCAAAAAGAAATCAAAACTTTCCATGTGATATTGCGATCTGCGGCTTCGTTTTGGAAGGATACGAACGATCGAAAGTTGGATGCCCGAATTCCTCAGACGGGTTTTAATTCAAGAACGTACAGTTGAGGGCAATGTACACTCGCTTTGGCTAAAAACATATCTACAAGAAAGAGCCCTAGCTACTTACATTTACTTTAAAAAATTTTTAAATTACAAATTTAAAAATTCCACTGTTAAGTTTGAATTTTTATTAATTTTGAGAACTGCATTCATAAATTTCTAAGCCAAAGACTTAATCGTTCGTAACTCGAAAGGTAAAGCGATGATCGCAAAATCGTCAAAGAATTTTTGATTACTTTTGGTACGGAAAGTTTGCAATTTTTTACGGTGTACATAATTTTTAAGACACCTTGTACATACACACTCACACACACGCTTCTTTTCACTTTTGCAAGATTATTCGATCGTTGTTTCTCTCGTTTTGCACCGATATAATAGAGGCAGCGCGTAGTTTCACCGACGTAGGATATGCTTGACTTTTTAAACTTTTCTATAAACATCTTCGTATCTCTTACTTTTCTGCTTAGATTCCGTTAAAGCATTTCAATTTTATAAAAAAGAAAATATTTCAAGATAAGAAGGATCGGTGTAACGGCGTATATAATTATCGCCGTGCATCGTTCACAGCGATAACGCTTTTTTATGTCACGGCTACTTTGTCAACGACTGTAAAAACGGTTCTCATGCTGGAAATTATGTTACATTAGTGAAGACTAATGAAGTTACATTACATTAGTGATTAATGAAGACGATTATTCGTTCCTTACGAGTATTGTTCCAGAAGTTATAAAATCTCGCTGGTAAAACGAAAGTAAGATTTGGAGAATCCGCGGTTGCCGACACTCTCGACGCACCATGTGTGTCATAACCCTACACGTGCATGCGCGTATGCGTGTGCGTGTGCGTGCGTGTGTGTGCGTAGGTAAAATCGCTAAAACAGATCGATCAATAAATTAACGGAAATCCTTTTCTATAAAAACTTAGTAATCCAAAGACGAACGAAGGGCGCGTTGAATCATTTCGTTGCGTAGAAAACGTTGGAAGCAAACCGTAGAGATTTTCTTTGCCGTTTAGAGGTATATGCGTGTCTCGTGAATCGATTAAAATAAAAAGTGGCATTGATGTTGTTTTACAGGATGCCTGGAATATGCAACAGGTTTAAAGTATAAGTAAATACTTCAATACTTTTCGTAGCTAAGAACACGATCGTCGCATAAGAAACGATATACAATTTGGCTCCACGTTTAAACGAAACGATGAACTCACGCGTAACCAGGTTTGAAGTCATTTATCCAGTCTTATTCGTGCAGCTTCTAGATAGACGTACAATTTGAGGATCAATGTACCTGTGTACCAGTTACGTTCAACTTGCTAATTGTTCGTTCAGTGCGGGAACGTATTTCCACGTTACGAAAGTATTTTTTTATGCCGATTTTATACGTCCGAGTAGCCACTAAGGATTTCATTGAAACGTGTGCGCGGTTTACATAGATTCGAAGGTCATCGTTGCGTTTTTAAACGGGACTAGTGGTCGATCGGTCTGAACGAAGCTACGATAATTGCTGAAATATAATTTCTTTTCGCGGAGTCTCGCTTCCCAGGATGTTACAGAAATATTTCGATTCAAGGAAAAAAGTACAGTGCTTGTCAATTAGAATCGTACAGGAAAAACATTTTTGTATTTAAAATATTGTAAATATACTCGTATACATTAAAAAAATTTATTTTTAATTTTATTTCACTTTTCACTGTACAATATTTTATGAACAAAAATTCTCTGCGTTGTACTGTACGATTTTTAGTGGCACTCACCGTATATAGTCTTCCTGTGTTAATCTTAAAAATTCATTCATTTATTTGAACGGCTTTCACCGTTGATGTGCGCACGACCAGTCGTGTGTTCGACAGTAAATAATTTACTAATTAAACATATCGTTGAATGGTCGTTTAATTTTCAAGTAAATTTGAAAATTCATTAAGTACGTCACCCGACCCGATATTTAAGATGAATTTTCTGTAAGTAACAAATAAAAGATTTGAAAAGACGCACGATTTATATCTTGCCGTGTCAGTTTTATATGTGCGTGGATGTACGATAAATGTCCTACTTGATTCATTTTTACGTTTCTTCTTAATTCGATGCATTCGCTTTCTTTCATAGATCAAGAAGCATGATGTTTTTGCTTTTGTCGTATTACGATGTTTCTGTTCAAATTTGAACACGTAGCATTTTCGATAAAACTATTGCTTTCAACCAATAAAAAACGTTGCCCTTAGTCGGCACTATACCGGTCCTGAAAAGCATAGCTTTTCAATAAAGGACAGTTAAGTACCACGTGATCGTTTGTTCGAATTTTCATGGATTCGAGTTGCGATGATATTCCATCGTTTACTGGATCTTTGGTAACCCTTTCGTAGAATAACCCTCGTGATCGTAGTAACGCGGTTTTAATAACGTAGTTTAACAACGTAGACGCACGTTTCGTAGTTTCATCAACAGTAACCGTTAGAAACGGTAGACGTTTTGCTTACAATTGGCGCGTAGTTTCGATTTCGATACGTCGCGTCGTTTCGCGGCCAACTTCGCGAGGTTACAGTGTAAGCGCGGTAACTTCCGGTTTTTTGAACCGAGGCGCGTTTCGGTTCGTCACTCCTCCGCAATTCCTTCGAACGACGACGGTTAAAAAATCGAGGGAAGCCATAAACGGTGGCGAGATATCACGAAAATACTGATGAGAGGTATGGAATTAATATACGCAGTACCACGGACACCCAACAACGCAGGAGCACCGTTGTTAGAAGCCGTTGCTCGTCGATGCAACAACGCCAATATCGGCTACGAAGTTACGGCGTGTCGACGGCTCACGGTGACGGCCAAATGCTACTGCCGATCAACAACAATAACAGCAACCAGACTAACAACAACCAATCAACCAACGACTCATCGATGATGACGGCCGCAAATCTCACGCATCGCCACATTAACTCGTCGCAACGGAACAACGCGACTTCCGAATCCCAACCTCGTCGCGTTCCTACTTCCTCGACCTCGACCTCGACCCCGATCTCAAACTCGACCTCGACCTCGACCTCGACCGCGACGAACGCTCGTCAACGTTCCCTTCCTGGCCTTCAAAACCAATAACAAGGTACGACCGATTGTTAAACCACCCGCGAATCACGGTTCTACCACTGCTGTTATCGATAAATGCCGACTATATCATCGATTAATGCTGCTAATGTTATCGATATCAATAATATCGATATGTCATCACTAATGCGATATGTCAATAATATCGATGTGCGCGCTTTTTATCGTTCAAATCTGATTATCGTGTTTGACATCAGGTTAGGTTATGTTTGGAGCATAAACAAGAATAAATTAAATCGGATTTCATAATCTACTTTAACTTAATAGGATGTAGACAATTTGTACGATAAAACCTGAACTAACAAACAGATTTAAACGGAAAAAATTGCACACGGTGCATTATTGATATATCGTCAAAAATTGATGACATATCGATAATCGATAGCAGCATCAAACATTCGATAAACGGCGCAAAGTCATCTACGCGCCACGCACTTAACACGCACACTCTTTACACTTTTTCGCGGGTAAATGAAATATTAATCATAAAAAGCACTTGCATTAACTTCGACATTAAACTTCGTTTAATATTTCATTCGATAAATCGGTAAATACGTATAATTAAAAAAAAATGGTTTATGAAACGTCGCGAGTGATCTTCATTAATTTATTAAATAATATTATGTTATTTTACGTGACGCTGATTTACGCGTCGAATCGAAACTCGCCGTTTAGAATCCCGTAAGTAGGAGAACGAATTAAAATGGGCTTTTGCGATACGCGTAGGTACGCTAATTCCGAATTGCTAGTTTACGGTAGGTTTCGTTAGTCCATGCGATGTGCCTGCGTTAACGAATGACTGGAAATATTTTACCGTAGCTAGTTAGACTTTCTTCTTATTCTTATACCTTTGTCATGTTCCTCGATATAGCAAATATTTTTTATATACATGGAATGTAGCATCGTGACCAGTGTCATGCTGCTCAACGTTTTTACTCCACGCGATAGTTTTCCCTGTCCGATTCGATTTCGATGCCTCGCTGCACAAATATTGTATATTCACCTAAAAAAAAAAAAACAAGTGTATATTATATCAATCATTTTTGCACTTTATGTGTTATAATCATTTATAAATATCTAACCAAGATAACAAAAATAATAGGTTATGACAAGTGAATATATAATAATTGTGCACTGAGTTATTGATCTGTTCCTTTTAAGCGTTCGTGTGATTTCTGAACTGTTCCATAAAGCGCATCGACGCGTATGAGAATAGTTGAGATTCGGCTGAAATCATCGTAGAAATTTTCGCCAATCTTCGTTAAAAAGTAGTATCAAATGTTTTGTCCCTTTATTGTTAGAAAATTTCTACGACCCGTTAGATACTCGAAGAAGACGTTGCATGCGAGTTAAGTATCATTTGAAAACAGTTAAAGAACGATTCGATTAAGCAAAGATCTTTTTGCAGATGGAGCAGAAGACACGGACACGGTGTACCAGGAGGTACGCAACGCGATGTGATCGATTATCGCACCGGTTACATAAAATCTCATCTTCGTTCACCTTCCGGAAGAGTTCGGTGACTATATGCACCATCGCACACTTGGTTATTTCCACCGAAAAGCTGGTTAAAATTTTTCCACGACTACAGTCGCGTGATCGCGCGATAATTGTTTCGTTTACGAGGTTAGGGTATCGATCGGGACGCCATTAATCCGATGAAGTCGATTTTTTTCACGAATACCCCAACAGCGAATTGTAAATGGGATGTTAAAAAACGGCCATCTTTGCATTTTATTACATTATTACCCTTACTAAAAGTCTTGTAGAATCCTCTCATGCATGACATATTGCAATGATGGTCGAATCTTTTTAACAACTTATCAAGTTCATAACTTGTCAGTTTTAAAATTATCTAAAATGATTTTATGAAACTAAATGAATCGGCGATTATCGTCCAACGGTGTCGATTAATTCATATTTTAATCTTCGCGGGGGAAGTGGAAAAAATGGACAGAGAGAGAAAAGTACAAAAAACAGTTCGAGACAAACTTTAAACGTTTCCAACAAATATTCCGTAGTAAAATAACATTTTCTAAACGTCGCGTTTCCTCTTCAAGTAAAATTTCACCGGTAGAGTAGTGTCGTTGATTTGGCGCGAAATTTCAAACTTCAACGACTGATTCGAACATCAATCTCATCTGTTAATTCATTGGTCTTCGATCGCGGACAATAAATAACGTGGGGACAAATCGAAGGCGAAGTCGGGGATAACGCGCGAGATGATTCGGCGTCAATTATAAATAGAAGAAAGTTGTGGCAATTAGATAAGCGTTACGTATATTTGGAAATTTGAGTCAATTACTCGAGTCAACTGTTTACGTAAGCGCTGTTCTAGTGTTTTTTTTTTCGCTTTTGCGATTATGCATCTGATTATTTCGTTTGCTTCGATATTTGTAAAGGTCCATTTCGTCGAAAAACAATACAATCGTTTTATCTGCAAAGAAACGATACATTGTTTCCGGTTCAAAGTTTTCTAGTCTCGGTATCGGTATACGATAGGTCAATAAGAATAATCTTCGAATATGTGACCTGTAACCTGTTAAGACAATCAGATATGTACCTATGTTTGCGTGCATGTGTGTATGTATGTATGTATATATGTATGTATCTATCTATTGGGTTGATGCATATGAAATTTCAAAGATAGCAATACAATTTGATGACATAAAAGTACCATAAAATAGCGATTAAGTTGCCTCAATTTGAAGCTTATATCTTGTTAAAAATGACTGTCAAATTTTTCTTCAGTGTTCTTGATATAAAATTATCTTGCTGTGTAGAGAGTAATAGAGATGATTTTGTGATAACTAGCCAAGGAAGTTTATGCAGTTCTCAGTAAACTTTCAGCTTCAAATTGATACATCATAAGTAATATTTTATGGTACTATTATGTATGATTTTGGATGTTTCAAAATCCGACATTTCAGATGCAATAATCTAAATACGTATGTATGTAATAGTAATAGATCAAATAGAATCTTTCTTCGAATAGTATATCTGTGCAGCATAAAACTTATACTTCTTTGCGTAGCTTTTTTTTTTCTTTATGCAATCGCGATGCTACTTTATCATCTTTCAAACACGATATTTCAACGGATTAATTGACTAAAAATCGAAGGAACAATATTGCTAAAGTGTTCTTATCAACGGAAAGTATCGCCGACTTTTAAGTTACGTTATGAAATAATTGGTAAATTCGCTCAATTAAACTATGCGCGTTGGCACGCGTACAACTTACTAATATCGTCGACTCGTAAAATGTAGATACGTTTCAACATTACAACCTCGTAAAAAAGTTATCATTACTGACGATAAGCGAAATTAAAACGTGTAATGACTTTGCAGGATTGAATCTCTGAACATGTAAATAAATAGAAAATTAGAGATGCGTTACGCGTTAACACGTATCCGTTAGATATGAGGGATTACACGAATGTATATACTGTACCGATGTATTTAATAAAATCCATAGCGAATTTTACGCGTTTAGAATCACTAATCCTAAAAGTGCATCGTTAAATTTTTTTCATTATATCTGATCTCAAAGATACAGTAGGATTTATTACTTTATTAAAAATAAGTTATGAAGAGTAACCGTGAACGGAGATAGCTGGTAGCAAAATCGCGTTTAATGGAGCATATTTATTTTATCAAATTATTGTACTATGTTGGATGTTATAGCACAGTGAACAAGTGTAATAACTTATAGATTAATGCATATTGGTCGCAATGCACTTTATGTGCTTATGTCTTCTTTACTTGACGAACCGGGTGAATCGGATGACCTATGCCAGACAAATCTGGTGGATTTTTTACGCAATCTTTCATGGCTTCCATAGCTTCCTTAACAATTTTCCATAATTCCGGTTGTTTCTGTTTGTAATTGTTGTACCATTTTTCTACGTATGGCCAGTCGGTCAATTTAAAGTCTATCGCTTCTAGTCCCATGGTTGAAGCCATCAATGCCATGTCAGCGATGGTCACTGTATCTGTTAAATCAAGTATACAGATTATATTACATTGCTACTTAATTTAAAGTATCAGAAAATGAAATTTTCTTTTGGAGTTTTTTAATTTTAGGACTCTAGAAATTATCTACTGTAAATTCGACAATGTTTCTACATTCTACACTATTTTATTGTTTAATTCTACATTGTACTTAATTTATACTTACTCCCTGCAGCGTATTCCGTATTTCCACGTTGCAAGTACGTGTTAAAAGCATCCAGCGCTATTTTCATTTTCTTCAATCCCAAAGGAGTCCTCGGATAATCAAAATATATCGGAGCCACCTGTACATAAATGTTCATCATTATGTTTTAGCATTTTTAATTATCTTGTGCGTTTCGATTGAAATTTTCTGTAATTGAAACATCGTGGAAACTAAACGGAACGAATAGCGAAGCATGCGGTGAAAGGTAATGTAAAACGAAACCGTACACACACATGTATATGCATGTGTTTTGGTTTCTCAAAACCTGTTACAAGCTCTTTTCTCTGAGCCCGCAACAGATACCGATTTCATTCATTTTTCACATTGAATTGATTATTGGTATGCAATTTATTTTAGATCAAAAAGGAACCTACGCTTCTTTTTAGAAGAACATATAACTGTGCTTCTAAATAAAACAAATTTTATTTACATTCTTTGGAGAATTCTGTGTGAAAAGGTACTTAAGTGCAACGTAAAAAATATTGTCAAAGGCTTTTTAACGCCTCCTCAATTGTAATAGGTTCAGTGAATCACCTTGTAAAACAGGTTACTGCATACCGCCGTTCGAATCAGATACAACAGACTAGTCAGTCGGATAGAGAATTTTATTTGCATAACTTATGCTGTTTGCAGTCATTGTGATACGTACCGCATATTCCAATATATCACGATAATACATCGCCAGGTTGAAACTCAAGCGGTGATTGACTATTGCACGAGCCTTCGGGTCCTTCGGATAAAATTTCCCTGTTGTGTCGTATTTATCGCAGAGATACTGGATAATTGCAGTACTGTAAAACAATAGAATATGCAGTGATTCATACAGTAATTAACAGGCAATAATAGTTAAAACTTTTATTGTCAAATTTAGAGGAGGATAATTTTTTTAAATGTGTCAAGACTTGCTATGCATACTACACTATTTTATGTAATTTTATAAATCACTATTTTATATAATTTTATAAATCACTATTTCATATAATTTTTTACTTTAAATTATATTACTATTTTATATAATTTTACATAATTCTATTTTGTGCAAAGTTTTTATAGCTTTGCTATAAACTGTTATAAAACTTTGCACATAATAGAATTGACGACTTCTAGTGAAGCAACAGACAAGATTGTTATTTTATTAAAAAGTTCATACCTTTCTCCTATGGCAAGATCACCATCTACCAACACCGGTATCTCCTTTTGTGGATTCATCTGTAAATTATTAATCACATTAACATTTTCTTTGTACTTTAATTATTTTATTAGAACAAACATACTTTTGCATATTCTTCCGTCATGTGGTCACCCTTGAGAAAGTCCACTTCGATCAATTCATAATCAATATTCAAAGCTTTCAATGCCTGACGACATGCAACAGACGGTGGACCATCTAAAATACTGTAGAGCTTCATTTTCCTGTCCGAAATTAACAAATTTCTATTTAATCGCTTTGTTAGAATTATTCTGAACAGTAACATGAATTCAATGCAAGTTACTTACGATAAGCAGCGAGTCTGTGTACTACTCGGTAACGAGTTCAACTGAACACTGATGCTTCGTCGACCACACTGACTGAACTCCCTTTCGCTTTCCTCGTGTCTCAAGGATTTATACGTTCTGTCGTATCTTCATTCGCGTTATCACAAAAGTTGTTTTTTAAAAGCAATGTGTCGATAGAAACTACCACGTCATTATTTTCTTCCACTTCTACAACTCATTTAAAAATGATTAGTCATCTAAGTATTTGGACATTCATTACGTAAGCAAACTTTTTACACTAAACTTAATTTTTAAAATTATTTTAACAAGAGAGAGGTTCCATTGACACAATAGTTCTCCTATAAATAAACTCCAGAATAAATTTTTATAGCTGCACAAATTTATTTGTAATTTATTAAATAAAAACTTATTAATATGATATATGATTACTTACACTTATTTGGAGCACGCCATTGTTTCAACATAAAATGCTTCTAGTTTACTCTCTGGTTTCCCTCTCATCTGCTGTCATCTGGTTCTACAAAATTATGCATTTTATTATAAGACTTGTACATTCTTTTATAAGATTTATACATCACAACTAGATTTGAATAAGTGTGGAACTTGTAATATATGCTTACTTACAAACATTTTCGTAAAAGAAAATGTGCAACAAATTATAATTTAATTCGTAGCTATTAGCTCGATATCGTTTTCTAAAATTTTTATAAAAATGTTTAGAAAACGATATCGATTACCGGGTCACACCACGTGGAGGTTGCTACGACAGTGACCCACCCTAACTCCAAATCCCAACCACCCGCCATTGCAACTACCTCATTTATCAGAAGGATAAATGAGTTCTAACTCTACTTAGCTCATACGCTCGCGAATACAAGTTCTTTACCACAGTCCAGCAAAGAACTTGTATCAACACACACACACACATACATTAACTTAATACTAGTCGCATGGGATCCCACACACGCACGCTTAACTTATTCTATACGCCGCACGGTACCTCTCATTCCAAGATTGCACTCAAATAATCTATGACGAAGTAAAAAAGCAAAGGGGTAGAAAAGAAAGTTAGAAGAACTTTCTGCTAAAGAAAAGAAAGTTAGAAGAACTTTCTGCTAAAGAAAAGAAAGTTAGAAGAACTTTCTGCTAAAGAAAAGAAAGTTAGAAGAACTTTCTGCTAAAGAAAAGAAAGTTAGAAGAACTTTCTGCTAAAGAAAAGAAAGTTAGAAGAACTTTCTGCTAAAGAAAAGAAAGTTAGAAGAACTTTCTGCTAAAGAAAAGAAAGTTAGAAGAACTTTCTGCTAAAGAAAAGAAAGTTAGAAGAACTTTCTGCTAAAGAAAAGAAAGTTAGAAGAACTTTCTGCTAAAGAAAAGAAAGTTAGAAGAACTTTCTGCTAAAGAAAAGAAAGTTAGAAGAACTTTCTGCTAAAGAAAAGAAAGTTAGAAGAACTTTCTGCTAAAGAAAAGAAAGTTAGAAGAACTTTCTGCTAAAGAAAAGAAAGTTAGAAGAACTTTCTGTGAAAAAAGGGGACCATTATTTTTCGCCAAGCGAACCTTGCTTTCCATGGGTCAAAGGGTAGTCCATAGTGGCTTACGTGAACCACGACGGCAAAGATGAACCGAAGATACCTTTGGCAAGAACGAGTGATACACCCCAGTTGGCGGAGGGT